TTAAGATAAGATTCTAGAATTTTTCGATGACGTTTGAAGCTCAATTTCAAAAAACTTTTTTTAGAAAATTGTCTTACCATTGTACATTGTCGGTTCGCAGTCAGCTTGCAGAGTTCATATCCTGATGTCTCTCAATAGGCCGGTTTTATCTGATAACAAAGATGTCTCTGGTGCTTGTATTATCTTTAACCAGGAAAGTTTCTCCATAAATCCCTCTTTTTACAACTGACCAAGTGGTTATTCAGGTTGAGAGAAGTGTGAATTTAACTTAATGAACATAAATTGTTTCAGAAACCTTAAAAAATTTGTCAACCGGATAAGGAGCATGAAGACACCCTGTATTGATAACTTGATAGTGAATGGTCTTCATTTCCTGTGAAAGGTGTTGCTCTACACGTGATATGTGAATGATTCCATACACCTAACATCACAGTTTGTCAAATTGTGAATCACCTAAAAAACATATCCTGCTCGCATAAAAAGAATAAAAACAAACAGTTGGCTTGAATGTCCATAAAAGTAGTTAATAAAGACAATATGATTTAAGCGTCCAAAGTAAGTTATGTTCTGTGTACATAGAAAGTCTCTATTCTGCAGTATATAATCGCAAAACCTAATTTGTTGCTTTTGTGATGGGGATGGGTCAAATTTCAATTTTGTCGTTCTTGTTTTTACTGGTTTCAAGCTAGTGAAGCCTGTTTAGGCGACATATACGAACTAATGAAATCGTTTTCTTAAAGTTTCGACATTCCGACTTTCTTAGTTCCTTTTGTCTTCAGTGTTCACTATAATCTGACACTAAATGGTGACCAGAAGTTTTTTCACTTTTTCAGAGCTTGGTATCATTCATCGGCGCGGAAAACTCCCGGCAAGCGTTTTGTTAAACTTTAAAGTCAAATTGGAGATTTCAAACTTTTATGTTTACTTAACAATGACGGAAAATCACAGTGGCCTTTGGACAATTTTTAACTGTTACCATGGCAACAACTGACATGAATGAGCTTGACTGTCAGTCAAATAGTCCAGGGTTGACATCCTGCGCTGTTTATACTTGGGCTATGTCAAGCACCTGTGTTACGTATCACGTCCAAATTAAACCCGGGTTATATCATCTTTGCTGAGTACTTTAGTCACATCCCCAGTGCTCGCGCCACTTTAACTTAAACACAGACGAATTCGTCACGGAATAGCCTTTGAAAACCCTTTCGCGTGTCTTGCTTTATGCTGCTGGTTAAGGTTGGTGTTCTTTCAAGCTATTTCTGGAAGTTCGATTGTGTACGAAGTAAGGCATTTGACATGATTTTACATGACTTCGCATTTACTTGTGATACTTAGCAATATTTCCGTGCGGTTAACTTTTTAGTCATGATTGATTGGAACAAGAGTAGGTAATACTATGTAATTCTTCGTTTTAGCTCCGGTGTTATAATAGGCACATGTCCAAACGAACTTGGAATGTCCCTTCGGCTTCAGCCTTCCCCGCTTTTTCTGTTGAAGCTTCTACTATCACGGAATTTGCTTTCTTAATTCCGGCAATAATTTTGTAATCAAATTAAGTCGTATCAATCTTTTAAAAAGTAAAATTGTTAATCTTCTATTTTCTGGATGATTAGATTCATCTCCGGATCGAACAGTATCGGCCAGTACATTGCATGTTGCCGCCGGCCGGCTCGAAATTTCCTGAGTGTAAACAGCATGGAAGGCATTTTAAGCATTTTGATCCCTCTGTTTCCGTCAGTTTGTAGGAACTCGTCACATTTGTATGAAAAAACAAACAACGTAGTTGAGTCTAATTCAAATCATGCTGAAACAGGGAACAGTTTGCCGGAAAAGCGTGGCGTCGCCATTCTCAAATTAGGAAGGAGTGTTTTTGTTGTGGGATATGTCAAAATTTTTCCTGTAACCGCACTGGAACATTTCCAGTGTTGTTACGTAAGGCCCTGGGGCAAACTACTGTGGACTTGATGAGTTATTGGATTCATTTTTTAATAAATCATGGACTTCCCGTTACGGTTCTTTCTTCACATAGTTTCTTCACAGAGTGGAGCCATTTGATGGTAAATTTCCTTGTACCCAGCGGCCGAGGTGGGTTTTAACGGAAGAAATTTACTTTCATGTGTGTGTTGCATCTTGGACGGCGCCCTTTTTAGAGTTACCTACGATGATCTATGGGCCATATCGTCCCCTTTTCTTTCACAAACTATGACAATAAGCACAATAAAACGAGACGCGAAAGACGCCGAGGCAACATTTTGAAGATTTTGGCTTCATTAATGCCACTGAGAGGCTTTGATGGTCTGTTAGAGCGTAATTACCCATCAGTTTGGCTTTCATCTTTCGTGCGAGTATATAGTGAGGCCTAAACGGAAACTTCTGTTTTCGTGTGTTTTAATGTGCTATTGATGACACATGCCAGGCAAATTGCCAATAGGTGTAACATGTCTTTTGTTGACTGACAAAACATCACTTTTCACCACTCGTTGCCCTTCAAACTTGAAAGATCGTAAAATAGAGCAGGAATAACTTGTTTTCATGTATGTTGGGATAATTTAACACATGTTTCGCCAGCGTTCGTTTTTTTTTTCTCACCCCAATGGTTGTAAAAATCCCGTCGTCGTACCTATGTGTTTGTTTTTATGTCTATGGCGTGCAAGCTAAGAACCGGAAATCTTAACTCGCTGACACAATTAGTGACTATTAATTGCAAGTGAAGACATGAGGCTTCGGTTACTAATAAGAAAATTCCTTTCCTAAATATATGTCTCGGTTTCTACTAAAACGCAAAATCCAGACTTAGGTATCCGCCCTCTCTTACCTCTCCCTGTCTACCCTCTCTTCTCCTACCCTCCCTGTCTACCCTTTTCCCCCCTGAAATATAAGATGGCCTTTCTTCGTCGTTTTCAGCATTCCCTTTTAAAAGCAAAAGCGTTGAACAAGTAAATTGAAAACGACAAGAAAAACAACATCACAAGAAAGCAAAAAAAATAATAAAGCCAAACGCGTGCAAAACTAGAGGTCAGAATGCTTTTCCAACGCTTGGTTTAGCCGTCGTCTTGCCACCACGTTTTTTGTTCTTTTTCACTCGGTGGAGATGTCGTAAAAGAGCTGTGAAACTGCCAAAATATATTTTTGTATTTGTCCATCTTAGAAAGTCGAAATATAAATCAATATTCGGTTGTTTAAAGGATTTAAGATTTCCCTAGTTCATTCGATTCTTTAATTTTCTATTTTATTTTTTCTTTTCAAACCCATGTCAACATAGTAATTTTTGTTCCCACATCTACTTAGAAGTATCGATTTGAATGCTCTATTATTTTAGTCTGAGACTGACTAAATCTATTCATTTAATTCGTGTTACGATTCCGTGTAGCATAATAGAAGGTAAAAGTGATTCCCTTTAATTTCATTTGACTCCTGATTTTCGAGTACAGTCAAAGATTTTATCATAGTGGTTTAAGTTAAAAAACGAGCAATTTTCAATGGAAAGCTATTTCCCTGTGGTATAGTTGACGTGGTGGGCGCGAACCACTTGATTTATTGGGTACTGTTTTGACCTGTGTTGAGTAAAATTTCCTTTCCTTCCCTCCATACATGAATACCAAAGCAAACGAAAATCTTTAGTTAATACGGTGAAATTTTTATGGACAATTGACGCCGGAGAGAATTACATAAATTGTATTAGCGTGCACAATCATGCGATTAGCTAGTACGGGCAAGGAATGTATTTGAGTGTAAAGAGGAGTAATGAACTATATACAATTAAAGGAGTGTATCGCATTTCTTGAATTAGCTGGTCTGCAAACCAAACTAGTCAAAGATATCACCACATATGTGAGACTTTGTATTATCTATTTGTTAATCTAGTTTCATGAATTAGTGGATGTTAAAACGTACACAGATTGAAAATGCTCGTTTACAGACAGGAAGCTTGAATTGTGGGTAGAGAAAGAAAGCACCAGGTCATGAAACATTCCAAAATCCTGTAATTAAAAACATATCAGTTAATTTTGCATCAAATTTCTCAAATATCAAATCTTTCCTATACGTTTAGAGTTTAAAATTTGGCATGAAATAAGTTTTAAGGAGCTTTCGCGTGGCTTTTGGCAAGTCAGGCATTTGTTTGAAATATGCCTGTGAAATCCACCGGCCGTCAAGTTACTAATTAGAGTGAAATCATTGATTTCAATAATTCTCGTAACAGCTTCCTGTGTTAAATGCAGGTCAATGGGATTAATTTTAGGGGGGAAAATCGTTATTACATTGTTCCGCTGGTATTAATATTACAAATATTATTGTCTAGTCTTATAAGACAATTGTCTATTGAGGGATCGAGACAAAATCAGACAGGCAAGCACCACAACCATATTAATGGGGCGAATAGTTTCACGGAACGGCGCATCAGCTGGAGCTCGATTATAATCAATTACGCTCTGAATTCCGGAGTCTGTTGGATCGCATCGTTAAGTCGGCGTTCATCGAAATTTTGCAATTACGTGGGATCGAGTGATCGGGCCTAAAAACAGCCATCAAACTACTCCCCTCCATTCGTGACCAATGGTGACTTTTTGCAAGAAAACACTTTAATTTGGGTTTTTCAATTGAATGCTTCAAAATCAACACGAATGAACGGACCAAACGGATGATCAACCAGAGGAAAATTAAAATAGCGCATATGAAGCTGAGTTAAGTCGAACAAAAACAGCATAATGATCCAAACGCCCTTTTGTTGACTGCCAGTTCTATTGCTCATTGCTCAAAATGTTGTGTCCCGCATTACGTCCGCTCCCCTCATTTATTACAGTGACTTTTCATATCTAACCATGTCACAATAATTTCATCACCATATGCTGCTTTCAGCTAACTCAGTCTTATCTTTGGCGTACAGCCAAACAAAGCCACCTAACAGACCTCGCATTAGTTTGATGGTTGTCTTTTATGAGACACACCATCTCCCGTCGCGAGTGCGGAATAGCTTCTGTCGATTCCTGATGGCAACTCGAATGACTTATAACCTTGGTGATTGTCTCGCTGCTTGCCGAGTCACCACCTTATGTTACCTATTAAAACAAGAAAAAGTCATCTCGGGCAAGCAGAATATATTCAAAATATTTTTGTTATCTTTCAGATCAAAGAATATATCGCTGAAAATGAAAGAAACGATGATTAAGCTCATTTCACTCTTAGTGGTTTTTTCAAGAGTATCATCAGGTACACACCTCTCTTCCTTCTCTCTAGTTCGTTAAAATGCTTCGCTTCTTGTTTAATTTTACACTCAAAACCACGAGTGCGCTGTGGCTCAATTTGCTCTTTGAAACGTTTCTTTATCTTATTGTTCTTTCATATCAAGCAGAGATATGCGATTCTCCCCTCAGCATTTTAATCCCAGACAGTCAATGGAGTGCCTCTTCTACAATAAACCACACCTTATTCGGTGCTTATCACGGACGAATGAACAATTCTCCGGAAACTGTTGGCTGGTGTTCGTCAACTGCTAAAGAAGAAAAAGCATTTATAGAGGTTAGGGCTGAATTTTTTCTGTCGGTTTTTTTACGGGGATTCTTTACTAAAAAGAAAATAAAATGCGCAAGATTAACAGAAATGTTGCCTCGTTTGCCTGTTTTAGCTGTAGTGTAATGGCTTGACGAGAGCTTGAAAAAAGTTTACGCGTTCATGCAGTTTTGCAAAGTGTCATCCTCTAGGCGTAAATAAGATGCTTTAAGAATAACAGCAAGCTAAATAAATGAAACAAGAAATGTAAGAGGAAGTCAAAATAGACTGTTCTACTGATGCTTTCAGGTTGACTTGGGTAGGAACATGCTCGTCAGTGCCCTGTCTACTGTAGGAGTGTTGGTGAAAAACGACTCTACTGGGAACTCTACATTCATGTACGTGTCACAGTATTTCCTAGCCTATAAACGTGATGGAGACTTGAAATGGAGGCGGTACCATAGAAACGATGTATCTGTCACAGTAAGTTGCGAGTCTCTTAACACTCGCTTCAACGTAGAAATGATTTGACTTTACTTTATCCGTTGGTCGATGATTCTTTACTTCAATCTGCTTCGTTGATTCTCATTACAGTTAATTAAAATCAATGACTCCAGAGTCCACAAACACCACCTACTGACCCCGCGGATCGCCCGCCGTGTTCGGCTTGTGTTGGACCAAGGAATTGGAGACAGATGGTGCCTGAAGATGGAAATACATGGCTGTTCTTGGACTAAACATGGTACACCACATACTTCCTTTTAAGAACTGTTATTCAAAGAACTATTCCAAACCAAAGGATACTGATAATTTGGAATCTTGCTCTAAAAACGACTAAGTAACTCCCTTGAGAAAAGCCTCAATTTAGGAGACGCTTTCCCGCTAGTGCCATTTAGGATCCCCTAGCTTTGCAAAGCTGGGGCTACATGTCAAGCACGACAAATGGCTCGTTGAATCTCATTAAATTTCTGAGCCCTTTACATAGAAAACAAAACCAAAGGAAACGAAACAAACACAAACATACAACAACAAAAAGTGTCTACATTAATGTTGTTTCAGTCAACATCACCATAATTTTTAAAAAGTTTTAGTTTCCTTTCAGATGGCTTGGTTTCGTACCGCATCTCCCAGGGAAATATCCGACAGAATCTACCCGGGTGGAATTCTTTACGAGATAACGGCTACGATGGTACGAGGCTCGCTTTTGGGAAGAAGATAGGCGTACTTTACCGGGGACTGGGTCAGTTAACAGACGGAGTGATTGGTCGTAATGCTGACTGGAATGACACTGGTAACCCAATCTGGATTGACTGGATTGGCTGGCAAGATTCCAAAACCTCTGACCCAACTGTCACATTTGAATTCTCATCCTTAAGAAAGTTCTCTAGCATCCGTTTTCACGTGCTTAATCTTCCGAGTCACCATGAAAAGATGCTCTTCAGCAAAGTTGTGCTTTCGTTCTCTCGAGATGGCGAGTATTTTGCTTGGAAGACCATATATGAACCGAGTATGGCTAAAAGATCAACACTGAGAAACAAAGCTGTTTGGATTGAGGTTAACCTAGATGGAAACATTGGAAAACATGTCACGTGCGAATTTGTTTATTACGGATGGTGGGTGTTGATCAGTGAAGTGGAATTCAAATCAGGTACTTTCTTGGTTTAGTGGTTTTCATGTGCATCTAAGTTCCCCCAACTCATTTTTTTCTCTTAAAAGCTCTGCAATATTTGGTAGATTGGGTCTTTTTTAAGCTTCACATTGCTGTATGCACTTTAAGAGAGTCTTTTTTTTTCATGGTTCAATTTTAGTTTTCGTCTCTTACAATCGTTTCGGCTGAGTGATAAATTATGAGATCACGTATTTTTGGAGGAGGGAAAAATCAGCGCATCACAAATATATTTTTTATGTTCTTGGACTGAAGCTTAATGAAACTGACCAAGGCTCAGCCTTGGCCCACTCTGTTATCGAGTAGTACTGCTCAGAAAACTCTGTCATCTGTAATTAAGTCCTTAATGCAATTTTCTTGTCTTTTCTCCACCCTATGTAACGCTTTTCTTATTTCCTATTTGTTTTTGGAAGAAGTATCCATCGATCATATTCCTGAAACCGAACAAAACATTGTGCCTGTAATAACAACAACAGCCAACACTGTCGACAACGGAATCAATACGACAGACAAGACTGTAGTGGAGGGTAAGTCGGGCTATGTTCTCTTAACCCTTTAACTCCCATGAGTGACCAAGACAGGATTTCTTCTCAAGATATCAATACATTATCAACCAGATAAGTGAATAGAATAAAGAAAAATATCAATTTGGGGATAATTAGTTGATCCAATACTAAATTCTCTGAACAAACATTGTGAGAATTGTATGGTTGACAGTAAGGAGAATGACAATTTTAAACAGTCTCAAAAATAGTTTTGCTTTAATAATTGTCCCGTCATTAAGAGTTTATTAGTGAGCAAAAAAAGATTTTTTGTCTCACAAACAAAAGGACTATTTTCGTTTACATGTCTCTCTTTTTAAAAGACGTCTTCAAGCCTTTCAAATTTCTTTTTAATCATGTGGTATATTAAAAATGATTCGAGGACAATAATAGCACCAAAAACGTTGAGCAATTCTTTTTTACACATTTCTTAAAATTAAGGGTGTTTAGAAAGATGCAACACTTTGTTCTGAAATGGAACATAATCTCATCAAGTCAACTGATCAATCTTTCACTGAATTCTCTCGTGCACAGAGTCGAGTTTTGGTGAGCCTTCGGACGACTCTCGGGACACCGTGTTGATAGGCTGCTTGGCTGCTGCAGGAGTAATAGGAGTATTGCTATTGTGTGTCCTCGCCGTGCTGATGTGGAGGCGAAGAAGTCGACGCACGCGAGCCGCTGAACAGGATTTAAACAGCAGAGCAATCAGAATCATCAACCCCGGCAAGAAAAACTCACTAAACAGAAGGAACGATCCTGGTGCGCAGGAAATTCGCTTTGAGAGACTAAAGATGCTGGGTAAGGGAATGGACGAAGACGAAGATGATGAAGTGGAGGAAATGGACTTAATGATGGATAAATGTAATTTGAATAACGCCAGGCTACTGATGGGTAAGTGTTATCAACCATAATGTTTTAAAAGATGATATTGATTAAAATAAAAAGGCAACAGATATCCCATGTTTCATCAAGTGAAGCCCAATGATGATTGAAACCTATTTAGATTTTTTTTTCAGTCTTCTACTAGGCTGGGCTATTTCAACACTTATAAGTGCGCCTATGATCCACAACTCTATCGCCATACCTGATGTGTAGTAGAAAATCAAATCTCGAGGTTAGCTGCAAAAACACTGACTTTCAAACTCCACGTCCCATGTGTTTTAATTTCAGTAACACGAGAGTTGACTTGTTCTTGGTTAGTTTCTATAAAAAATATCTTTCACCTTTCAGGTGACCAAGATACCTCAAGGAATCTCCGTCCTCAATCCAGGGAAATCTCCCTGGAGGAAGAAAAGGCTGAAGTTCTTGCAGAAATGAGGAAAGTTAGCGAAAGTAGCGATGAATGAATGCAGGTACACATCGTTCTACGGTCCCTGTAGCATTCCTAACACCAAACTTCTCCGCATTGAATAAAATGAAACAAACTGACAAATGCATATAAAAATGGTGAAATATGCTCCAGAAACCATATCATTTTTAGCTCCGCCATTTAAAAGTATATTTGCATCATATTAATTGCTTCTTTTGGAGTTTGCAACGGATTTCCTTACCTACGGTAAATTTTCCTCCAATGAGCCGAAACTTCGACTAAGGAGGACGCCATTTTGAATATTGCTTAGCAACCTGGTCGCTTATCATTGACCTTAATGACAAGGCATGGTGAAATTGAACTGTTTGACTTCACTCTGGAGCGTCGGATAACTGAGAATTTAGAGGTTCATACTAAAGCAGCAACTGTACTCCTATTATTTGAATGAATTTCAAGAAGTCATGGTAGTGCGTTCAGGTTACTAAGTCGTTTCCAAAATGGCGGTGTCCGTAAGGAAATTATTAGCACACGTGAAGGCAATTTTTCGAAATGGAAGGTCTCTCTTATGGATCTCAAATGCTGTAATGTGTATATTTTAAATGCCATATTGAATGGCGGAAATAAATTTAAATGGTTTTTGCCGGGAGCATACTTCTCCAGTTAACCAAGGCTCATGTAAATTTCCATGCGATCAAAGAGCTCAACCAAGGTGATAAATTTAAAGTGATTCTAAGAAAATAGAAATTTATCTGAAGTATGCTTCTGGATTTCTTTTATTTTATAGAATCAACAGCATTCTGAGGAATTGTCAAGTACGATGATGGCTATTTATGTTAATTGAAGCAAATACTGAATTATTTAGATGTAGCTGTTAGAGATGTTAACTTTGCTAAAATGTTTCTTGTTACCCTTGTTACCATAACTTACTTTCTATCGCGCCTATTCCATATTCTTTATGTGCAGAGATACTCCACAATATCTGTATTTTAATCACCTTACCAGAAGCCACACTAGCTAAATACTAACAGAAAGTAGAGTTTGCATTCAAAACAAGTTTCGATTGAGTTTCCAACATAATGTACAATGAAAAATTAGATGCCTGGAACTTTAGGACTTCAATAAGTTTTCCATTATTTTGACTCTGGTTTGTTTACGAACGAGTTTTCGTTTTGATGTCAAGGGTCCCAGTCTCCAAGCGGTGAACTGATTCTAATCACGGCCGTTGGTGTGAAGCAACGGAATCATACGGAACCGCTCTGTCAATGCCCCTTGGGCTGTTACATAAAGTTTGCTTATTTCTATTTCCCGAAACTTTAGCACAGTGCCGCTAAATGTTTCATTATTCACAACACAAAAAGTTACAACTGATATTAAATATTTATTGGATTTCTCATTCCGACCTTGTAAAGAGCACCGGTTTACCTACTAACTTCTTTGGAATCTTGACACCGAAACATACTCTTGAAATGCAGTTAAACTTAACCTAAATGTTTCCAAGTTATCCAAATGGTCTTATTTCCATTACAAAAAAATACAGTAATATTAACTAAGCATTGCGACTTAGAGTAATTAGTTTGCTTCGATTACAACATTAAAACTAAGGTGTATCCTTATGATTCTAAAATCATTGTACATAAATGCGTCAGAATAAGTTGTTTGTAGGATTACAAACACGAAGTAGTATTATTTCTTCTCCTTGTACAGTACGTAGGGGTTTTGATAATTAAAGATATATTTTCCACGAATGCAAATACTGCTTTTCAACGAAGTTTAACAAAGGCATATGCCTCCTTATGCTTATATACATATGAGTTAAGGCCGGGTGGCACTAGAGCGAATTCAAACATTTACTAAGTTTTCGCGTGCCAAAAATTGGCAAAAAAATTCAATTTGCAATCGCATCAAACTGACCAAAATTTCATTGATTGGCACAAACGTCAATCACATATCCATCTCCCTCTTTTAAAAGGTAAAGAAAAATTCTCGCTCGAATTACTGGGTAAGACTGGATCTCCGTCAAATGATTTGTCTTCGCGGCTTTTGGGTTTTTGTGGAATTTTGCATTTTTTCCTTAGGTAAACAACGTGGCGTTTTTTTGTTTGTTTTTTTTGTTTTTGTTTTTTTCATTTTTGGTACATTATCAGCCATTTTTTGCGGCTAGAATCAGCTTTTAGACGTAGAAGACGAAGACCTCGCTTAATATAGAGCTCGCTTTTAAAACCGTCCTTGGTCTAGGTCTTTCCCGCGTTTGGCGGAATCATGATTCGAGATTGGAACCATGTATCGTACTTCGCTTTCTTTTTTCGTGCTGATCCTTTTGGTTGCAGCTTGCTCCTCTAGTGGTGGCTTTGATAATTCCCATGCCAGGAGAAGTACTTCGTTGCAGCGAAATTGCCGCTAGTGACCGGGCCCAGGGTACAAGTCATACACATTCGAATGAAAACGTCGCTCAAATTAAATTATGGCTAATTATTATATAGATTCTGGTGGAATACCAGGATTTTTCCTTTTACTGCAAAATCATGTCTTCATCGCGCTCAGTGAAGATACTATTTTTATCTTTCATGTGTGAAGATATTGGTGTCGCCATGGTTACTAACATGATTAGCCAATCACAGGAGAGCTTCCCGCTCAGGCGCGCAGTCGGTTTTTTTGAAATTTCATCAGTAAAAATAAAATAAACAGAACATTACATGGCCGCTTGGCTTTCAGAGCGTGACTTGTTCGTTTTCTGTGCATGTCGAATTGAGTGCGAAACTCGAGGCAATCTTAACTTAAACATGTGCGTTTCCTGTGTGCGCTGATTAGACTGTGCGCGCCGAATTGAGTACGAGACTTGAGGCAATCATGGTTGACATATGTGTTTTCTGCGCATGCCGAATAGAGTACGAGACTTGAGGTCCAAACCAAGAATCTGAAGAAAAGGGTTCTATGTTACTTGGAATACACTAAACAGGGACCGCGCAGCATGTTTTTGAGTAGGGGGGAGGGGGGGGCTATTTTTGGCTCCGTTATCTTTGTTAAATTATTTTTTGTCTAATTTATTTTTATTTTGAAAAAAAGTGGGGGGAGGGGGGAGCTAAAGCCTCCCCCTAGCCCCTCCATCTGCGCGGTCCCGCTAGAGAAGGTATTCTTGTTCCAAACAAAGCTTTGGTTATTCTATTTTAATAAGGAAAAAGCGCTCGAAATCCTCTACAATATTCATCATATGACCAAAAACGAGAGCCGCTATCGCACTATCGCTATATTTTGAGTGATCAATTACTACTTTTCTAAATTTTGTTGGTTGTTTCCGTCCAAAAACCAAGTGAGTCAACGAAATTTATTGAGCATTGCATTATTATTTACCGTACGAGGATAGTCCACCTAAATACTTACAAATTGACAACGGCTACGAAATTATGGCTGAAATTATCAAGAAATTGTGCTCCAGTTCCTGAAGCTTAAGGTGATACATAGAAGACTCTACCATCTAGAAAGTCAGAGTTAAGAAGAAAACTTAAACAAGCAAGTGAGAAAGAAGATTGGGCCACTCCCTCGCCAGAAATCCCTAGATGAACAGGCTACCCTGTCGGGCCTTGAGCTTGCATGAGTAGATAAATATTTCTTGTTCTCTTAGGGAGAAAAGTTTGCGAGAATGTAATTTAGAAAGGCACATTTATTTGGCTTGTTTTCGATCCCAACTTAAATGTGTAAAGAAAGTTACCAGTTTCAAACAGAACTCGGAGGAAAACAGACGGATGAAGTCCTTTCTACATCAACTGTGACTAAGGAAGATAAAACTGAGGATCTTGTGGTGGTGCCAGAAAAACTTTATGCGTAGGGTATAAGCTGTTGAAGTCGTTTCGCTGCATTTGAGTTTTTTCAGTTTAGCAAATTAACGTCTTTCTAAAAACTAGTTGATTTGAATTGGTTTGCAATGAGATAAATTTAAAAAAGATTGACTTAAAGTTCGAACTTGTCTTTTTGTGTTCTTTCCTTTATGTGAATTGTTTTCATTCCTGGTGATATGTCTTATTTATACAATTCGTAGAGGAGCCTATCAACTCAATGTTCGTTAAGGGTCTACAGCACAATCACAAGAAAAAAACAAAGGTGTGGTGTTGATTACAAATAGTACACAAACTTAGTGTTCATTATATGTTGTTAACTTAAGAAGAATTAAGTGCGATCACCTCTCATCACACAACGTTAAGAAACTTGCAGTATAAATATATTCAGTTATCCATGTTACTTAGGTTAGGTTAAATTAAATAAGTTAGTAGCTGTGTATCGAGCGATTAATAGTTTTTTCATGTTCTTTTTAAAACGTTATTCTTTGCTTAAACACAACAAAATAGTTTGAATATGTGTGCGCCACATCGAGAAAAATCGAACGATAATTTCTTTCTCAGATATATTTTGGAGGTGCTCGCCGAGCAAACGGTAACGTTCCTGTTCATGGAACGGTAAAACTGTGACTATAACATAGTTATGGCTAAATCGCTACGTGAAGACAAGGCGTTTTAAATACCATTTACTTCAAAAAAATGGAGTGAACTACTTCCATCCATCTGTGGCAGTTAGAAGATGGAGAGGTAGATTCGAAGATCAGAGGAAATGAAGAGATTTGAAGAGATAACTCGAAAAATAAGATATGATGGCGTCCCTTGCCTGGCGATGGTACTTCTGAAGATATGGTCGCAGTGATACTTGCAAGAAAGCAGAAAATTAATATCAGGGATTATTAAAGAGCGTGCACTCTTCTAGCACCCTGATAAGTTCTTTTCTCATATTGACAAAAATATGCGAAGAGGATCGCCCGTAAATGACTGACGGGATCCTCATTATTTCTAAACAAGTCAAGTCAGTTCCAGAAGGGGAACGATATGAATTGCTGTTACGTTGAAAAGTCATCAGAATCCTGATGTCGTACGATGTTAAAAAAAAGAAATCGTTGGCAGAGTTCTTTTAGTCTCACAAGTAATTTCTTTATTGGCTTTCACATTCTTTACCGATTGAACCATTTTCAACTTTGGAGAATATTACTACGGAAGTTTTTCCTAATATTTGAATAACCTTTCCCTTGAAAGCTTGTTTCGATTACATTACAAAGCCATTTGTTTCAGTAAATAATATCTTCATTAAAAGACCTTGTTGTTGTCCTCGTTCTGTTAAAGAAATGGTCGCTACCTAAATTTAAACAGCGCCACTTGAGTATTTTTTTTAACAGGGTAAGAATTAGGAGACCCGTAGTACTCCATTTACGCAACTCGACGAAGCCGTATCCTTCTTGAGTTATAATTATGCGTCGAGCTCTTTTCGGCACGATACTCTAATCGGCATTTTACAAGCTCCACGCTGGCGTCCAGATATCCAACAAAGAAGTCAAATCAAAACAAAACTTTTTTTATACATAAAGTTAAGAACGAGGTTCCTTTTTATTTAGGCGAGTACCAGCCTTGATACAAAAATATTAACAATCGCCTCGAATCGTAATTTGAAATAAGTCTGTCGATTCGTTGTCTTGCTTCTCAACACATTTTTCTCGCGGGTTTTTCCTTTGCCTTATTGTGTCGCCTTCCTCAACGCCTTACTGAGCGATCGAGATAGAAAAACGGCTCTGCCAGAGGTCCCGTTGTCCCATTGGTTTGGGGTTTCAGGAGGCGAGATAATCTCCTGACGTGGCGTTAGTTGTTTACGAACCTTTATGGGCTATAATCTCGCATTTGATTTTGGGAGGAATTCCTCTACTTTTGGCGAATTTATAGGGTATTTAGATTTGACCGATTTTCGTCAAATTTCCCCGAAACATTCCAGGAACAAGGACAAACGAAAGTGTGTCGGGAGATTCGAAATATTTTATATTCGAGATATTTGTCCCGAGACGTCCATTTATGTAACACGCCTCGCATATTTTTAGCTACTCCAACTTTAGATGCCGATATCTAGACAACCAATCAGAATATCGAAAACTGCGTGACACACTTAAGTTGATTGGCGTCTTGTGAATAAGACTGTGCAGGTATTTTGCTTGTGCTGCGGCATGCAATACCCGATAGTTTCATTAGAAGAACCCTCAGTCGTTTCACGCCTTACAGGCTCCTTAACACTTCCTAAAAGAAAAACACGCTCAAATTATATTTTCATCATAAACTGCATTTATTAAGCTTTCTTCTGGTGTATAGTTTGCAAAGATTTCAGAGACACTAGGGCGCGCACGAATTTTTTCCCGAAGGACACCCCCCAACGTGGGACTGGTGACCAGCGTCTCGACAACTTGAGCGAAATTCAACATCTGAGTTGGTTTTAAACTGCTTTTAGCAAACGGATTGATTTTAGCTTGGTTGTGAAGTACAAAAAAAGAAGGTCCGTTCTTGGAGCTCCTCCATGTTACACTGACATCCTTGCAACAGTAGTTATACAAAGATATATATGTATAGATCATATAGGCCATTTACATGTAATGACGTGAAACAAAAGTGATAGAATGATGGTGTGTCACCTTCAGAAAGATAAGAAAAACCTTTATGTTCAGATGTTCATCAGAAGTAGAGATCTATTTTTTTTTTTTCAAGTTTTTGGTAAACTATTGCCCTGTTCAAGAGCAAGGGAAAATTTTAGCGAGTAGGTGATATCAAATCCATCAGGATAAACGTAAGAATAAATCTGACAATCATAGACCTCATTTCATTCTTGTGACAAAATCTTCCTTTCTGGTTTAAGTCATGCTCAGTCTCTCATGGATCAGCTTCTCTACAGTTAAACTAATTTCGACATATCTCTACTCAGAATGTTTTTTCATTTTAACAAAAAGGCATTGGCTTCTATTATTACAGTAATATGGACCATTTACGTGAGCACTTATGTTCAATTTCGCCTTTCAATATAATATGACAATATTCATCTTCTGTTTAAATAAAACTCGGGCTACCTCTAAGTAGAAGAACACCAGAGATGTACAACGAATATTGCAGAACAAATGACTACAAAACCTATAATCTGTCTTTAACATATCGACAATCTAAAACTGAAAGCTTAGGTAACAAGTGATCCGAGAAAGGTTTAAAGATTGTTTATTTCAATGACAATCCTCCTTTTGAAGTGACAATAGAGTGATATTGGAAAACAAGGGAAACACATCTTGGTCAAATTTTGTACGCGACCACGTTCTAATATTTACACCATCCATGGACAAATATTGAGCCCAATAAAGCTATAAAGAAAACCTAAATATAATTTCCTCCATATATTTACAGACAATTAGCACTAAGGCCTTAATGAGTTTTTTCACCAACATCTTCGAAAAATGAAATTTTTTATGCAACAAAACTGACTAGTCTTTCCACCGCCTTTTTGTCGGTAAAAATCTCCCTTGTAAAATGAACAAAGTCTAATATAAGAAATTAAAATGTAACTTTAAAAAAATAGTCTTGGTAATCTGTCTCCAACTGTCAAATTCACGTGTAAATATATTCATATACTCACTATCAGTGAGTATATGAATATATATAGCCTTTAGAACAGAAAAAATAAAATTTAGATATGTTTCTTTTCAGAAGTGAAGTAAATCAAATAATCTCCTATTCCTCTTGGTCTGAGTTCTTCTTCTGCATGCAAGGTAGTCTGTAGATTTTGGGACAACAATCGACTTCTTGCGCGCGAAGTGGGGAATAACCCGATAAAGTCATCCATATTGTACCTCGCGGACCCAAGTAAGGAATCAGCAGCGCCACAATGATCATCACTAGAAAGTCAATGAGAGCAAAGTAGCGAAAATACGGATCCGTACCAAATCTGCGAATCAAAATTCCTCCTATCAGCTGACCGAGCCCTCTGCCAAGACCGTAGTACAGGCCGTGTAAAATACCTTGCAGTGTAGCACCAACACGGGGAGGAGTGCCCACATAGGACGCCAGAGCACACCATACAGACGCCGAGCACAGCCCACGGAGAAATTCAATCGGTAACACCAGCCAAGGATTCTCAATGGCGGAAAAGTAGTAAAACCTCAACGCATAAATCAACAGCCCAAGTGTGAGCATCTTCATATGGCCGATGCTTTCAAGGAAGTATATAGAGCCGTAATACATTGCAACATTTGAGATACAATGCACGGCGACCAGTGCACTGAATAAGGACGGCGAGGCGCCAAGCTCTACCAAGTGAACAAACAGGAAAGTTTCCGCTGATCCTAAGGCGGCCCCAAGGAAAAGAGCAATCATGGCGAAGATCAAATACTCAATTTTGCCGAATATCTGTAGGCCTTTAAACAGGGCAATTTTCTCATTCACATACTTGTCTGAATCTTGAAAGTTAAAGCGGGTCGACACAAACAGAGCGACTGCCATGAGAATAGCATTCACGTAAAAGAAAGGTCGGTAAATGTCAAACACGTCTTCTGGACAAATATCCACCTGTTTTTTGTACTGCCCCTGTACAACACAGCCTGTAATGAAAGCTGATACTCCCAAGCCGACTTCCCCCCACAAACGTTGCTCTCCGTAGTACTGCGGACGGTTGTCCAAGTTTTGAAATGTAGCCACATCCGCGAGCGTGTTAGACGTGGCACCAAGAAGTTCACCAACTATGGTGATTATCAAGATAACAAGAAACACTACTTTAGCATTCTTGTAAATCTTCGGATCCATTTCGGTGTAAAGATCGAAAAGCCAGGCTTCTTGCCACATCTCAGTGTTTCCGATTGAGGTAATGTTACCTGCTTCTACGTGATTTTCTTTCGTGATGCCATGGAGACGATGAATGGTGTCGTTTGGGTGCGAAATGTTCAGTTTATCGTGGACTTCGCTGAGGCAATCTATGCTCACAGGAGGAACCACAGCAACAAGGAGATTCATGACAATGTAACTGAATAGCGCGATTAGTAACACTGTTCTGACCTTGTTGTACTTGTCTGCGATGGTTCCAAGAATTGGCGCACTCACAAACAGGCAAAGAGGCTTCACTGCCAGTATGATGCCCACAAAATGAGCTGGCAGCAAAAGCGAGTGCTTAAAATAAAGTGATAAATATGGTACGAGGCTGCCAAGCGCGGCAAAATAAAAGAAATAAAAAACCTTGTAGACGAGGAGGTTTTGGTTGATAGCAACAGCCTCGCGAATCATGTTGAACCAAGATGTCGTCTGGCTGGCTTGCTTGCTTTCCTGTGACTTGGGTTCAACTGCTTCCTCGTCGGGATTAAATAAATCCCCATAGTTTGTTCCTAATTCGTCGGTTTTCAGAAGCGCTCCTTTCTCAGACATAACTTTGACCGTTGTGATTATGAATTTATATCCCTTGAAGCTTCAAAGAACATCAACCTCCCATGCCGAAGCGCTAGCGCTTTAAGCTTGCGGTTTCAGTTTTCAGTTTTGCTTGGGTAGCTAAGCTGAACAGATGTTCTTTGATTTTAACTCGCGGAAATTTGCATGAGCCAGAAAAAACATCCAACCGCCTATAGCGCTGTCTGAGATATTGATGATAATTCAATGGCACATTTCACATCTCTTTCCGCCGCACTTGACATGATTGACAGGCATTGATTAGACACAGTTGAACGATTGTAATAATCAACGTTCTTTGTGCGTCAGTGTGACATTGTTATCAATATATTTGTGCTCTTAGCGTCTTATGCGGTAGTAAACGATCGAAAATATAACAGATGTCATAACTATTCGTTTTACGGTTCTAAATGAAAGAAAGATTCTCCTTATCAGTCAAACGCCGTTTATGCCGCGAAATACCCAACAAAATGTTCACTTACAAGAAAAAAGTCAAAAAAGCCTTCTTTTGTCGCTATTGTGCTGCTGATGAGGCTTAAGAGCGACAATACTAGTTGGAATATTAATAATTTTGCTATTGTGGGCTGCTTTGAATTCATAATATGTTTCCACACTATGAAGAAATATTCTAAACCCAATTTTTGACGAAAATTTACACGAACCCAAACCAAAATCAACGCAAACTAATTTAGACAACAAAAAAATATCCACAAAAATGTAAACGTAATTATGCCTCAAATTTGTTCAAAATCGCATCAAGTCCTAAAACCTGATTTTGCAATTCAAATGACCAAAAAGCGTCAGTATTTAAGCGCTCAATTTTTTTTTGCACAATTTGTGGTGAAGTGGGAACGCCAAACAAATTTATAAAAAAAAGGTAATGATGTTTTATCCAAATAATGTACGTAAGCTGCGGCGAGGTACATAATTTACGGTTTCCGCTCTAAAAAAATTGTCACCAAGCCAAAGCAATTTTGGTAAAGGTAATTTTGAACTGCTGCATTATAAGTCATCTTTCAATCGGGAACTGGTCATGTTCGACAGTGGAAAAAGCCAGCTTTGCTTTTGCGCAGTAATTATTTTGCAATCTTACTTTGATGGTATAAAAAAAAAACCTTCATAGTAACACGCGTTCGCATCGCAGTTATCTTTCATTAATTTCCCTATGCTCGCATTTATTTCAAAGAGTAAACCAAAGTATTGAGATCTGGGAAAATGAGAATAATTCTGAGGAAGAGTAAGGTTTCCTTAACATTTCACCGTTGATGAGATTGATGTATCCATATATATATATATATTTTTTTTTTTTTCTTATCTCAAGCAATACAGATAAGCATGCGACAATATAGATACAGATTTTATCTGAGAACTGAAATCAAGTCCCGCTCGCTAAAAACATACTTCGAACAATTCTACTTGATAACAGCTTATGCTATAAGGCAAGACATTTTATAGCAGTTTTACGTTACTACCATATAGCTTTCTTCAAATAAAAAGGAATATTTATCTTCAACACAGGAGTGTTTAATGACTTGTTGACTTTGAGAACTGGATATGAAATCAGCAAGAAGCAAGGCATACATTTCATGACGGCAAACGGTTTAAAGCAGCTTTCTTTTGCTACACTAATGAGGCCATGGTGTACATATTGAAAGAAAGTCAACAAGATGAGATAAAATTTTTGTCAAGTAGTTTCCACAACATAAACGTTATGGTTCTCACTAAAACACTCCCACTAAAAGGAGATAAAGAGAATGTTTTTGAAAGTGAGACTCTTTCAAGGAATGAAGTAAATCTTTTTCACAATAAGGCCACCACAGCACCTTAGTTCGGAATATTTTACAGTGTATTATTTTCATCAAAATCGCTTTCGAAACTGTTGAAAAAAAAATCATCTCACTTTCATTAATAACTACTAGTAATTACTACACCGAAAAACATCTCACACACTTCTATCATCAAGTTGATGGATGACATGGAAAACGAACTTTCGAATTTCCTCTACCTTAGGACATGTTAACACTTTTCACAATTTTCAAGCTTGAAAAAATATTAAATAATGTTAACGAGCTGCTTGACTGGAGCAGAGGATGACCAGTAATCTTTTCTGGCGGCTAGTGCCAATTCCCTTTGGTCATTAATTAGTCCCACACTTTTGATCACATCCGACAAAATAAGGGAAATTGATTTTTATTTTTTCTCCTATTTTCGCTTTAGAATACGGAAGATCTTGACTGAGTCACGTAGATGAGCAATCAATCACGCCTATTAATTTATTTAATTTATTTGATTCATTTTGAACTGATCCTTGATCCTTGATCCTTGATCCTTGATCCTTGATCCTTGATCCTTGATCCTTGATCCTTGATCCGATGATCCTTAATCCAGTTTTTCCGGGAAACCGAATTTTAACGTATATTGCCTGTCCGAGGCAATATAGAGAAAAAAAACAACATAATTTATTCAGATAGTGCCCTCAAATTGACCAAAGCAGTCAGATAAATTTGTTAGCCCCTCGTTTCCCTGTCGGATCAAGCATCTGTCAGGATTCCAGCGAGTATTATCAAGAATTTAAGTCCAAGGAGGCAGCATTGCCAATTAAGCTACCCAGTGTTCATTGCGTTACTTTGCTCTTGATTATCCTGTGTTCACTGCATTTGCTCTTAGTTACTCTGTTCACTGCATTTGCTCTTGGTTATTCTGTGTTTACTGCATTTGCTCATGGTTACCTTGAGTTCACTGCATTTGCTCTGGAGTTTCACTGAATACATGTAGCTACTCTCGGTGAGAGGCAACTTGTCCACTCTGCCTGATGGCATTTTTTTTTAATGATAAACTAGTGGGAAGCACTGCACAAACTGAAGTAGTAAAAACCTGTTTAAATCTCCTACACTTTTTGTCTGACAATATCTGACTTTATCAGGGAGTTTTTTAGAAGTACGTCAAAGCTTGTTTGTATACTCTATATACACATAGTAAATATGATAACTATTTTTAACCTTTACACATAGTATGAAGCCAGCGGAAAGTATTCACAAGGGTGACACTGTATGTTACTATGAAAGTTAATTAACTATACTTGTGTCTCACTATATATTACTTAATATACACTCAACCTCAAGTAAAACTGCAGCTAGATGCATGTCTGTAAAGGTCATTTTTAAAATCTTAAACATTACTAAAATAGCTGATAATGAATTTAATCCATCTGGAATGAATGAAAGGAGTTGGACTACACCAAGTGATGAAAATTGCATCTTTAAGTAAAGAACTGTGGCAACTTCAGTGAGTTACTCGATTTTAAAAACTTAAAACAGTACTGGTGATGATTCCATTGTGATTCTCCACAATTTCAAAACACACCACAAGATGGACCTGCAAAAAAGAATAGAAAACAGAAAGAAAAAAGGGGACCTGCAATCAAGTAAATTGAATTTATTTGAGTAGTGGTTCGCTGACACAAATTGTATTCCTATAAAGCAATATGTGTCAAAATTATTTTTTGTCACATTAATAGATCAGTACTTTAGTTGTTGTAAATTGGCTGGTACTCTGGCATACACAGTTGTACAGTAGGTGACATTGTCCCCTTGAACTGTCACCCCAAGTTCCATCACCCCAGAAGGTTTTATTGTCCCCAACTTGAATTTGCATCACCGTAACTTTTGACTTAAGTTCAACTGCCCAAGTATCAAAACCATCTCTGGAAAAAGGGATGATAGGGATTGCCAAGTTACTATTACTTACAACTTGTTGGTTATTTGCATTAATAATTTTCCAATTAAATAACTTCAATAACTTTCTCCAGGCCTTAACCTTATGTCAAAATACACTTACACAAAACACAATCATACTTCAGGGTGACAGGACTTCCTTTGGGGTGACAGAACTTGTGGGCAATGCAACTTGTTACCACATACACAGACAGTGGTGGCAGATCACCACTCTGAAGAGTGATCTAACTCACACACCTAGGTAACACTTCAGGCCTGGGTTGTTCAAAGCTGGGCTAAGGAAACCCAGGGTTAGAGTGAAATTTGATTTCAGGTCTGAAAGCTTTAAAAGAAGATTCAGTACAAATCTTTTTGATGGCAATTTGATCACTGGATGTTTTAAAAGGAATAGTGAAAATTTTCCCTAAAAGGCTTTTGAATGAAGAAATAAAAAAACCTGGATTAAAATTTAACCTTAGGTTAACGCTAATCAGCATTTGCTGGGCCCAGTTTTGCAAGAAGTGATTATCTCACCAAACTTTCAATAATTTTCCAAGTTTACTTGTGGAATGAAAACATGGGTAAATAAACAGGTTTAAAGCTGTCAAAAGGCCCAATTTATGCTAATGCTTTTGATGTTAAATTCATTGTAGTCTTCACTGCACTTAAGTTGCAACTCATTAATAATTATTGTCCCTGTAAAATCCTTAATATGACTTGATGAAATTGGTTTTAGGAGATGGAGCCCCTTGCAAAACTTCATCATGAACTTGTAAAAGCAGGGGCTTTGTTATACAGCATCCTAACCAGTTTGGTAAATGATTATTGCAGCAATTAAAGGAAATTTAGTGTTGTGATATCAGAGGAGTAAGGATTATGTTTGTTTGCAACAGTCATTGACTTAGGGACTCAGGCAATTAATAAGTTTGCCTAAAGCAGTTCAACCATTGCCTATGGAGGAACAGTAACACCAACTTATTTCTCTTCTTCCACATCCATCTATATTTGGCAGCACATTTTGGAGTTCATTATAATTAAGTCATTTCATTTTATGGCACAAAACACCACTTACTACTGCTTTAGAACAAATTAAAACTTGATTATCACACTGGTTGTTACAAATATAGGATTAGAAGGGTGATTTCATCAAGACATAAGCTGAGACAGTATGAGAGAAATTGTGACAGCATGGATGTCTAAACAGAACCTAAACAAGAGGGGAACTGTACAAAACAACAAACCACCGAGGGAAATCTCTCTCAATCCATGAGGATTGGAATGTGCCACTCCCAGCTATTGAAAACAAAACATTCACAGAGAAGGAACAGGCTTCATGTGGTAATGGTCTAACCATTTGACCTTATCATCTGACGAAGACTGGAAGAATGCAGACAGTACATGCAAAACAACTCCATCTTGAAACAGTGTTAGATGAGACACAATAACCTTTCCACTTCCCCAGAATTTTTCAGTCTTATTGGCCCCTAGTAAAGCATTGTGTTATCTATAAAATTTTACTCATAACAAATACGGCTCTCAACAATTTGGTACCTTCCTAATCAAGTGATATTCCACACCTTACACTCCATCATAACAGGGAACCCCACTTTTTAGGACTGGAGAAATTTTTCGAATAGGAGTGTCCGTACAGGTCTATTCCAATCCCATAACATTTCAAATTGTAGAGACAAGTTACACTGAGATCAGTTTGGAAGAGCAGATAGATTAAAACTTAATACAATCAAAAGTTGCAACTTAAGTGTAACAAAAATTACCGTTAAATAACAAAATAGGCATAAACAGTGCTCACCTGGTAGCAAAAAAAAAAGAAAACAGAAGTCAGCTCAAGTGATTGCTGGTTCAATTATCAGACCTGTCTCGAGGACACTTGCACTTCTGGTCTTCGGGTACGTCCCTCATTACTGCTTCAGCATGTTTACCACAGCCTCAAATAAGAAGAACAAGAAATCAAATAGACTAAAAGTAAACATGTCTCCGGTAAAATTTCCGCATAGCTCCACACCATTGTAAAATAAATCTGTTTTCCCAGTGGAATTGTATTGTTTTTGTCATTGTTTTCTCTATCCAAGAACTGAATGCATAATGTAGTATGGGGCTGTGCGGAAACTTTGCCTAAGATGTTACTACACGTACAAGGTGATCATTACAGCACGTTCAAGAGTGTATCCTGTATGACATATAAATTCACCGTATAATTTTTCCTGTCACTACTGTTATTATTTTTATTATCATTATTATTATTATTATTATTATTAAGATTTTTCACATATTTTTGCCTATTTACTCTTTAAGTGTGTGCAGTGTGCTAGAAATTTCCAGACACGTAAATTATGAGTCACCATCAAACTCAAGCAAATGTAAACACACTTGGCAAGCGTGGAAAACATTTCGACGTGATCTCGGTTGATATTTTCGAAAAAAGATTCTTGTTATTTTTCGGTTGCTTACCTTTCCACGTTGTCTTCTCACACTTGTCGCACTGAACCTTAAAACACATTGTATTGAAGGTAAAACAACTCGAAAGAGTTTGCTACAGATTTTCAAGTCAGTCGCTCTTGAGTTTAATTTCATCCCCAGGATCTCCCGGTTTTCAAATCGCCCGCAGTAGAGCCGCGGTGCGTTCACCGCCACCTGTTGATGTGACAGCCATGAACAGTTACAGAGGGTTAAAATAATGCCCTGAATCCCCTGAATTAATTATTTAACCAATCGACGCGTGAGACATTCCTTGGCGTCCATTGTACATGTCAATTCCAATCAATAACTTGATTCGGTTTCTTGTTCTTTCAGATATCAGGTATTATGCAATTTTTGACCTTTTCTGTAAGACCTTGTGGAACGCCAGAGCGGGAGGCGAAAATCCTTTCCAGCTATACGATACTCAAGCCGCAGCACCTCTGAGTACTTTCTCGAATTTCTCGCAGGCTATCCCTTTCCAGCCTATCAGAATTTGCAAATAGAGTGACGAGATTTTGGCAGCATGCGCGTTTTTTGCAATTTGCAATCGTGTTACATGAAAAATGCACTCGTTTTCAGCCAATCAAAGGCGCGTCATTTTTTCATGTGTATTATTAAGGCTATGACTGACCACTTGATGTACAGAATCTCGCTCGAAAATACTACTTACTTTGATTTTGGTAGAGAAAAATGGATTTAAAATCTTTTTCTTTTTTTGAGTGATCCTGCTTTCAGTGACCGTTCAATACATGGGGAGGTAATAAAAACAGGCCGTTGGGACTTAAAAAAAGGGTAACCGCGACCGTTTAATAGAGGTGAATATTACAGTGGGAAAGAAATTTGGGACTTCTAACACTGACCGGTTGATACCGGGTGACCACTGAATACGGTGCCGCTTAATACAGGTTCGATTGTATCCTATATATTATTGTTTTTTCCCCTGTGGTTTTTTGTGTTATGAATGGAAGGGAGGCCATAGAGACAATTCCTCAATTCAAAGATTATTCGAATTTGTATCTGATTAATTGTAGTGGACGTCAATAAGTCAATACACAGGGATCTTTTTTGCGTAAAAGTTGTCTCCCATGATTAGCATGAGTGCTATGTTGTGTTCACGATTGTGGCGTTTTCCTATAAAAATCTTTCGGTATAAACACTATCTGAAAATCTCAGATCTGTTCTAGAAATCTTGTTTTGAAGGAGCATCTCTCATAAAGTGCCGCACAGGTTTTGCGTTGAAGGGTCAGTGGGAGGTTTGACTTATGCTGCTACATCTACTTATTGCATGTATTGCTTTCATTACAACCTGAATACATAAAAACAAATTGTCAATCGGCGTCAAAATGTCAATTAAAGACAAGCACATTCTCAAGCGAGGAAATTGCAGTAAAAATCTTAAAAAACAAATGAACAAGCGAGGTAAAATTTCATTTCAACCCAAGATTATCATGTTTTGTTACTTTTCGTTGCTTTTCCTCTCGTTTCTGAATGTATTTCAGATAAACGTTTTCAAAATAGAATTGACATGCAGCTGGCAAAGTCTCAGATTAAGAAAAATTGGAAACAAACAAACATAAGTAAACTCTTTCGTCCGATCACTTAATCAGATGTGCTCTTTGGTTCAGTACTGGCTTGCACTGACGGCTGGATTTCACATTTATCCTTACGAACCTGCTCCCAATTTTACCCTTTCTTGTTAGTGGTTCGGCCCTTGCTTTGTTTCATCAGTACAGAGAGTCCTTTTAAAGTCTTTGGAAAACACTCAGACCAATTATTCAGTTTCAAGAAGGCTCTAAGTTATATTGATAATTCACGAACCGCAAAAGTGAAAGGATGACTGGAGGTAAGGGAAATATTTCTCAAGAGCTCACCTGTCTTAGTATCTCTCACGAGTCTGAAAACACAGGTGTTATGATCACAAGTATGGTTTTACACATCGTCGTCTCCATATTGACAGCACTGGAAAATCTTTTGGTTCTTGTTTCAATTTTGGGAAGTTCTAGCTTACGGGTTTCACCGTCGAATATTCTTCTATGCGGTCTCGTCCTATCGGATTTATGTACTGGACTGATATCAGAAACGTGTTTCATTACGTTGCAAATTTTGGTTTACCAAAACAAACTCAATTCATGCGTGTTTCCAACCGTCCATGCCATAATATCTTCGTTCCTTAAAGAAGTAAGTCTTTTTACAGTAACAGCTATAAGCATTGACCGTTACTTTGCGATATATTTTCATCTACGATACTCAGAAATAGTCACAGAGAAAAGAGTACGGATCGCATTGGTGTGCATATGGTTCATAAGTGGCATAGGATCCATAGCATGGAGTTCTGGCAATGTGGCGTTTTCTCAAGTCATGTTGGTTGTGACAACTGTTTGCCTTGTTGCCATGTTTTACACTTGGACTAAAATCTACCAAGTAATGCGTCGCCATCAGGCTCAGATCCATGAACAAAGGAACACTCCACCACATCAAATTGACATGTGCAGGTTTAAAAAATCATTCACTAATACCATATATATTTTAATGATTTTTCTCGTCTGTTATCTCCCTTATCTCCTAATTTCTTTTATATTTTCTTATAAATTAAATCCAACAGATGCAACATTTTCGTTTGCAATGATCTTTTATCTTTGCGCACTTCTGAATTCATTGCTAAATCCATTACTGTACTGTTGGCGTGATCATGATATTCGCAATGCAGCTAAACAAACTGTGATAAAATTATTCTGTAGTAGACAATAACAACAAGAAGTGAGCTATTGTTGTATGCTGACGTTATTGTGACATTAGCCATGCAGCTAAACAAACGCTATGTCTTCAGTTTTAGCAGCGAAAGGTGCACACAAAGGATGGAGTGGTTCGTGACATCATTTCATGCGTAAGTCTTAGCAAATGGACGCATCACGTACACTTCTGCCGCAGTAGCACGGATGACCAGTAATAAATTAAAGGCCTCGCATCCTCCTCTGCTTGTAAATAAACCAAGGGGGGTCATGATTAGCAAGGAAAATTTCCGTTTCTCACTGTAGCATGTCATTAGTTGTAACAAAGGATGCATTTGTTAAAGATGTTACACGTGTGTTGTAAATGTATCAAGTAACTCTTAACTTGCAGAATTTCGAATGGTTACTGCTAAGATTAGGCAATTTCTAGGGATAAATTTACCTGTACATTTTCAATCATCATAATTCGGCCATAAGCACGAATAAGAAATGGAAATAAATGTTAAAAAATAAATACTTTAAAGTTATGCTCAATGCTTGGTTTTGCTGACCAATTATTTTTGAACAGGTCTACAACTGGTTGATTCAAAGTGCCTAGGTTGTAGCGTTAATCTGTTAAGGATGCCATGTAGAATTCTAAAAATAATTTGGCATGGATAATGAATGAAGTGTAGTTGGGCATATGAAAAAAAAATCCTCCCTTGAAGAATCACGGAGCTGCCAGTATAGAGAACCTTGAAAAAATATTTCACTTTTAACGATATTAGAGAAATAGTTCACAAGTCAAGTACATCTCAGCGGAGATTTCATGAATAACGAATCACGTTCCTCGATCAGTATTTGCCATCTCCAAGTGGCTGTGCACTCTCTATTTGCAAAAATTTTAAACCACAGTTGATTCAATCATTTTCAATAACTTAACTTTTTATTATCACGAGTAAAATCTATAGCACACCTGGAAATAAAAGACTGTTGTTGTCATTTGTAACTTTTTCCTAATTACCATGATGCATCAGAGCTACTTCTTGTTCCACTTGAGGGGTCTTACAGACACCCTTTCCGAACCCTAATATAAAATTTGGTTTGGCTCATAGTTGAATATCCAAAGAAGAACTGGAAATGATGACCGATTAGACACGTAAATGTTGGCCAGAAAATTACTCATATACGGTGGATTGTCTGCAAATTATGGAATTAAAAAGTTTGGAACTAGAAACTAGAGTCCAATTAACAAAACTTGAGTAAAACTTGAGGAAAAGTACCTTTAATGACTGTGGAATCACCATCTAACTATTTTTTATTCTAATTTCCACAACATGGAACTTCAGCTCAACTAGACATAACCCACTTGACCAAGATTCATGTTCATTCCTCTTCTCTCTATAATAAAAACCACTTTACATAAACATATACAAGCTATGTGTCATTTGAACCTATTTCTTACAATATTACAGGACTCTAAGAATACATATCACGGTAAATTTGGCTCAAGCTTAGTATTTGAACCTGTTAAGTTCATTAGTTAAATAAAACAAACAAAACAAGAAGCCAAAGCAATAGAAAAACAACAGAAACTAGGAAACCATTTGTACCCAAACAGAGTTACACTTCACAGGTTCATACACCAATGAAAACCAACAAATTTTTGTGAGCAGAACACATTCAACATCTCCTCATGTATTAACTAGCAAAATATTCTTCCTGTAGGATGGATAATAATTTACCATAAAAGGTGTAACCCATACCTAACTTTTATCAAGCCTTAAGTTACTTAAAAAATTTTTATCAAATCATATTTTACAATAGGCTCACAATATTTTTGCCTCTGTTGAAACATTATGGTGATTCTTGGGGAATTAATACGCCTAGATCATGGCATCCAGTATAAAGCTACAACCTTGGCTTATGAAAGACTAAGCACTGAAAGGAATTCCATGGAAAATGTTCTTGGAACTTAAAATTAGCTACTATGGATACTCAACAAATTCACATAGCAATGGAGTTACCAGTTAAAAGTTAAATACTAATAATCAGTGTTTGAATCTAATTTTTGGCTAGAACTGGAAGGCCAAATTCATCAACTTGTACTCCATCCTGAAACAGATTAGAAGTGAAAAAAAAATCATTAAAAAATAAAGATGATCAAAACAAGGCAAATTACATGCAAGTTAAAACAGAATTTGCTACAATCAATAAGGGAGGGTGGGCTGAGGATGGGGAGGAAGAGAAAGATGTATACTGTCTTGCATTTGCCTAAGACTCAATTGAAGTATTGATTCAGTTCTGAGCACTCCCCTTGTCCAAACCCATTATCAGTAACATAGGTAGCAAAGCAAGAATAAAGGGGGTAAGTTTTAAAAGAAATTGTGGTGCTGCATCGGTGGGAGAGTATAACAGGGTAATTTAGTATTATCAACAAAGTTGATTTTGTAAATTGGACACTGTAAAGAGACTAAAAGCTGATGTTTCAAGCATTAGCCCTTTGTCAGAGCAAGAGTTACATTGATTCTAGTTTATGACATGTACCATGTAAGTAAAAGGCCTGATGAAACATAATCAACAGGGATCAACTGAGTTATATTGACCCTCATAAATGCAGAAAATTCAATTTTTAAAACTATGCATGATATAAAAATCTTGCTTATCATAATATAATATTTTGGATTCCAAAGTAACATCAGTGACCCAAAACTGGAGAAGACTCTTATGTAAGAAACCAGTGAAGGCTTGCTCTTAGAAATGTGATATACAGTAGTTATCAAGCTGAGGTTTCACAAGTCATTACCATGAGTTATTGCTGGATTAAGTTTTTTAGAGGGAAGTTATAACTTGGAAATTTGCACACATCTTTCTTTTCAGAAATAGAACGGTCAGAGTCCATTAACAAATTTAACCATTGAAAATATTATATCAGGAGTGGGACTGACATAGAGTGGCTGAAAACAATGACAATCATTTTTAACATGATAAACAAGTGTACTTGTGTTTTTGTTCCTTCCTGATCTCCCTCCCCTGGTAAGGTATCTGATGGAGCTGGAACTTCATCTAAGTAGGAGGTGTCTTCATCTAGAGCCAGGTCATCTCCAAGAGCTTCCAATTCTGTATAAAATGTCACCATAATTTTGACAAACAATTATCACTTGGTCTATAAGCCCCCCAGAATTGCTTTCACTAATCATCTGACTAAATAACAAGCTAATACGTGATACAGCAAACCTGCTTCAAGGTCAGCCTCATCAATGTCTTCTGGCATTCCATACGATCTTCCCAAGGTGTCTTGAACTTCATTAGCAATCTCAAGCATGTCTGCCATGTCATCTTGAAGATCCTTGAGAAACAGTTATGAAATGTCCAAAATGTTTTCATAAATAATATTATTTGTGGAGGTCATATCTTCATTCTTACAGTAGTATGAAAAAGGTTTCATATAAAGTCAAGTGTATTTCAAAGGGGGTATTATAGTGGTATGATAATTTTGTAATGTTAAATCAGTGATCACTCTGCTGGAGTAACTGCTAAGAACTAGAAATCTTGTTATTCTGAATGTTTCTTTTAAGGCTAGGTTAAAAACTATTCAGTAAATCTTTGTAGCTAGAAGTAATAACTACAGCATGTATTCTGAAGAGGTTTGCCTCATATGTCACTGACTCATGGATAGGTTAGTAATCTCACAAGCTTGAAATATGAAATATTATCAGCGTTCCTGCCTAGAATATCTTAAAGTAACAAAAGCAATTCTTTCCATTAGGAGGGAAACAGTATCATGATGAAGACACAAAACTTTGACTTCACCATACCTCAATTTCATCAATATCCACTTTCTTGTATTCCTTCTTCATTTCTTTAAGTCCTAACTTCATAGCATCAACCTAAGAGTAAAACATTGCAAAACTAATGATAATAACACAGGCAATGATTATTACAATTGTATGCCATAAAAATGCTTTAAAACAAATCATGAGCAAGATAAATTAGAAGTTAAAAGTTCACAAAAACATTTGCAAACTTTAAACTTCTCTATACCAGCATCATTTACAAGCAGAATTACTTACAGTTGTTTTGGTATCTTTTAATGTCTGTGTTGCAAAATTTGTTTGCTCCATGTTAAAAGACTGCTGCCGGAGATTCTCAAGTTGACTTTCATATCTGGTGGGGCAAAAGAATATTTAATTATTTGAAAGGAACTTGTTGCCCTTTGTAGTTAAACATATTTCATTGCTTCATCAATCAAAATTACCCATCTCTTCTATGCATCATGAGAGAGAAACATTTACCTCTAATGAAAGCTAGAATGTGTATACACTTACTTGAAGCCATGAACATAATATTCAGGACAACAAACCAGTTAGAGACAAACTTTGGAAGAGGGTTTGAAGATTTACTCCTGGATATAACTGACTCTTTTAGTAAAAAGGTTCATAATTTAGAATTTTACTATGGTCTTTATTCCCAGCTTTTCCACTGGTACAGTGTCAATATCTATAATCAAGTAAACTTACTGTTTCTTCTGTTTCAGTACTCTGAGTGCTCTTTGCTTGATCATATTCTGTAATCAATAACCATTCAAAGCTTGAACAAGTTGAGTAAAGGTTGTGAAGTAAATACTACACTGTGTTTGTATGACATAAAGGGAGAAGGCCAAACATTAAGAGCAATTCTGTACTAAGCATAAATATATATGTGTGTGTGCATGTTTGTATAAATTAGAATCTCTTTAAAAAGTTGGTAGATTTCAAAATTAAACAAATGGAACAAGGAGGGTACAAGAATTGAAAATGAAACATTTGGTGGACAGACCATGTAATACAGCTTGTGTGGGTGTTATGTGAGCTTCTTTCAAGCTAAACAAAGACACAACAACAAAGACACATGGAGAGTGATAATTCAAATCTTCAAAACACAAGCATTAGGTATCTTGTTAATGCCTATATTTTTTTTTTTTTTTTTGGGGGGGGTTGGAAGAAGCCCCCAGTCCCTCAGACAGACCCTGCATGGGTTGTCTTGTCACTTTCAAAAAACTTCCCTAGTTTAGATTCAAATGGGTAAAATCTCATATTTTCCAAGCCATGATGACTTCTCTTCCCATTTCAATGACAGCATAAAATGCGAAAATGCTTTTTAAAAGAACTGAGACAGAGGCAAACATACGTGCCAAACCCCTTTACTTGTGGTTCAAAGCTACAGTGAGACATTCGAAATTCCTTGGAACTTTAGTACAAGTTTATCAAGAAGTGCAGGTATGACTGTAACATTTGTATATATGGGTGTTCACCAACAAGGAATGAGTATGAGTGTAAATTTAAGACATCTTTTTATACAGCATATAATTTTATCTAAATAAGTCGTTATAAACAGTTAGATTAGACTTCAACAACCATCAAAATTACCTGATACAGACAGACTAAGCCTGAGCCAATGAGCCAATTTCCAAACATACCTTAGATGGTCCATCCCTCATTTTCTTCATTTGATCTTTGTACTTCATAAGTTCAGCATCAAGTTTACTAATTTTTTTCTCTATGGATTCTCCTCGACTGTCGACCTAGATATGTAACAAACACAATATTTCATCGAGGTCTACATGGTTCTAGCAGACATGTTGAATTCGATTTTCGAACAGATCTCAATCTTACGTTAGCAATAGCATCGGTGAGATTCGGTGGTGGTGCTTTTGGTTTCCCTCGTCCAAAAAGCCTATTCATCTTGTAAAAAGATGTACGCTTTGAGCTCTTCTTGACGAAAACCACAATGCAATCACCACTATTTTCACGGTTTCCGTCAGCTTAGAAAGATTACGAACTGTTGCGTCACGTGACCAACTCCAAATATAGACTGGAAACTATGACGTTATGATACATTTTGGAACGTGACGCGTGACACAGTGCGTAATTGACAGGGATGTGATCAGGCTAGGAAGTGATGAAGCCTTTGAAAGCGAGCTCTCATGCTTGAGTCAGCCTGTATAGAGAAAGAAAGGAAAAAAATTATTAACAATCCATCACGGCTCTCTTTGCACCAACAGCAAACAAAACGGCGTTCATCTCATGTTTTCTTTAGAATGTTTGCCCAGGACTTGCGTAGAATCGCCTTAATTCTCATGATAATTTAATTTTGAAATGACTGAAGAAGAACAACCGTTTTAGACTCCTAAGAATGTTACCAGTATCGACAAGTTGGGACAAAACTTGACATGGCCCCTTTAGAATTTAAAAATGTCTTTGCAGGTGTAAAGATAAAATTTTAGGCAAAATGCCACAGTTAGCACTTTAACAAAAATATGTCATAACATGAGTAAGCTGGAATGCATTTTTCCTTTAAGATAAGGTCACATGATCCACGTACGATTTGTAAACTTTTATATGGTGACTCAGCCTGTCCTGCACTATCCTGCGAGGTGCTTATTTCCAAATTTTTGGGTGACCCTCCCCTTAATCTAAATTTTCGGTAAAATTTTCAGATTTTTCAGAATTAAAATGAGGAATTCGAACAGGCGAAGTGGCCCCTGATTTCTGCTCCTCCCACTTCCACAGCTTTTTGACTCCTGCTTCTTATTCTCCTTCGGCTTAGCGATCAAAGCATTCTTAGAAGAGTTATGTTGGGAGGACATATTTTACTGTTTAAGCCACCTCTCTCAATGTGCATTTAAATGGTTCCCATATTATGTATGGGTCAAATATTTTCATCCAAAATTTTCCTTCACGACCCCGTGTTGTGTGCAACAAAAACAATGTTAATTGGAAATGCTTGATCGTTTTGCTGCGGCGTCAGTCCCGGTTATTTGCTATAATTGGAGTTAAAAAGCTTGGCTCGGAGGAAGTGGAAAACGTTTTTAAATTACCTACTTCTGCGTAAGCATAATTCAACTTTTTAAGATACAGATTTCCAACACTTCTTCTTTCGCTAATTTCGGTTATCTTTTGGCGCATGAGTTCAGGTTTTTCATTCGTGCATGTAAGAAGATAAAATAGTTCAAAGTACTTAACTAAGAGTATCGAAATAATTAAAAGTTAAACATTTTCTTTTTCATTTTGAGAGACTGGGTTTCATCGGGCTGTTCTCTGTCCATTCTTTGTTCAGCTGTTCTTTACAAATACGCTACTGTTTCAACTTTTTTCTTCCCAATAAACGCAAGTTTGAATAAATTTTAAAGAATCTTGATTTTTAAGAAGGTTTGATCAAAATTCCCATAGATTTCAAGGGTGGAATATAATTTCATGAAGCTAGACTGGAAGAGGTAAAAACATGTAACAAGAAAGAAAAAAAAGAAATTGTCAATGTCCTCAGCTTTCAATACGTTAAGTTAGAAACCTAGCAACCAAAGTAGTCGAGAAAAAATTTATTTCGATCTTACAGCATAATCGTCGTAGGTGCAAAACACGAAATAATTCTTAGATCAATGATTTTTGATAATATCCAAACAAGGTGGTACATCTAAGGGAACCATGCTATAGATACCGCTGGAAAAGAAATATTGGATTACTCATTCAGTCATTGCCATTCTTCAGGGCTACATTTTACACCTAGGAAGCGAAATCCAATCGCTCCAAAACTGAGGGAAACGGGACATCTTAACAGACATATCACTAATCAAGGACAACTTGAAAATCCACCAAGAGAATATTGAGGATCTGCTTTCAAAAGATTCTGAAATGACGTTTTCTATTTCATCGCAGAAGTAAATTTTCCTTCGCATTTATTTACTATGGGAAGGATTCTGAAAGGCGGACATTGGAAAGTAAACAAGGTGCAACTCACAACATGGCTCCCGACTACTTATTACTACATCTTTTTTGGCTCCTTGGGGTCTCTTTTTCCTTTCCTGAACTTGTACTATCGAGCTGTTGGAATGGACCCTTGGCAGATAGGAATCCTGGGAGGAATTCGTCCCCTCATTGCCTTACTTTGTGCTCCAATGTGGAGCTTTGTGTCTAATAGGTATAAAATGAGAAAACTTGTACTAGTCACTTCGCTTGTGAGTTGGATTGTGTTCACCATCCCGCTGATGTTTGTTTCTCATTCGTCAGCCAACGAGCCTTGCTTTAATCAAGGAAATTACACCGCTCAACTCAGCTCGAAACATGAAGATTTCCTGCCCGGTCAGGAAAAAAGGGAATTCGATCTACCAGTCAGTATTTCGCTCGCGAAAGAACAACATACAGTTTATGAGAAGAAAAATACTCGCTACTCTCAAAAATACGTTGCAACTGGAAAGGCTCCCAAAGGAAATATCAAAAATGATGTAGAGGGAAAAGAAACATCGCACCATTCACGATTTTATTCTTTGAAAAGGCAATTTTTTAATAGTTTGGAAATGTCGGGACTAAAATTTGAGGCTAGCACTGATAGTAAAGGCGGAAACGGTCAGCGAAAACCGTATGACTTTAAATCTCGAGGAGTACCATATTACAACAGGAGAAAGAACCCGTACTCCAGTATAATATTCAACGAGATGCTTTTTATCGTGTTTGTAGGAGAAATACTTCAATCGCCTACGGATGATCTTAACACTCATTTTGATGGGACATTCTTGGAGCATTTAGGTGTGCTTTACCAAAACGTAGCCAACAACAATATCTATAGTTCGGTTGGTATTGGACTTGTAGCTTTGATCACAGGTTTATTGCTTCATTTTGCCCCTAAAATAACAATTTGTGACGTTGAATATGCAAATTACCAGATAGCCTTCATCATCTTTTCTCTACTTATGGCGGTTGCCATAGCAATTTCGCTCAAATTTGATTTCTCCTACAGAAGGTGCCGTCGCGGCTTTGAAATCCAAGAGTCACTGCGGCTGCTGGTGTCATCAGAACACATCACCTTTGTTTTCATCGTTTTGATCATGGGAATGCTCCGAGGGGTTCTCTTTAACTTTGTTTACTGGAATATAGTGGATATTGGAGGCTCGGATCTCGTTGTGGGCTTCACGGTTGTCAGTCAGTATTTTTCGGATGCGATCATGACTCTGTCCGCGCCGATTGTTATGACCTACATGGGATATATCGGTATGGTGTATCTTGGTCTTTCATCCTATGCTCTACGATTCTTGATTTACTCTTGGCTTAGCACCCCTCGCTCCTCGTGGGTTACCCCACCGGTTGAGCTTCTGCAGGGAATCTCCAATTCTACGGCCTGGTCAGCATTCCTCTTGTACATCACGAACTACACTCCAACATCGACCTTTCCAACAGGTTTATTTCTTCTTCAGGGGTTGTATTTAGGGGTGGGGGGAAGCATTGGAGGAATATTCGGGGGGATATTAATCCAGGGTTTTGATACTAATGTGGCCTTCCGAATCCTGGGACTCGTTAGTATACTGACGTGTTTGTTATTTATGATGATCCAGCCGTCTGGGGAACAAGAGAGTCTTCCTTCAGAAGCTGACACCATCTTCTTTCTCGCCGATGAAGATGATTATTCCAGCAACAGTGAGGATGAGGTATTCGATTACAGTCAAAGAGGAGTCGTTTACATTCCTTCCAAAGAGCAAACTAAAGGATCGCTGCAAGTAAAGAAAATGGTTTTGCCTTCCTACAGTTCTCCTTTGGTGCCAATTTGTATGTCACTAGTTAGGAAAGAAGACAAACAGTTACAAACTACGTAAGGTTAACTATGTAATATCTCACGGCACCAGTGCATTAATAAGCTAAATATGTTTACTGCTGCTGCCATCGATTATAATTTTTTTGTTCAAGTTGACGATTAGCAAGAAGCAAAATACACGCTTTAAGACTGAACCGTTGAATAATTCATATAGCTGAATCAATAAAAGAGGGAGAGTGGAGTTGGCGCACAAGTAGTCTGATTGTTTTTGTTGTGGTAGGAGGGGGCATTGAGGTATATTAGAAACCGCAAAACAGTAGAAAAAAGTCATCCAAAACCGCAAAAATAACTCGATCAAAACCGAAAACCGCATGCATAAACGTGAAAAATTTTGGATCCCAGTTATCAGAACCCTAATCGATCCGATGCAGCATACAGAGGTTTCGCGGCTATCCGAAATCAGAGGAGGTGCGTAATTGCCGCTCAGGTAGAAGAGGAACCGGAACCCAAATAGGGAAAACCGAAAACGACAAAATGCTCAAAAACGGAAAATCTGCAAACCGTAATGAACACCAAAACCGAAAATCCGAAGTTTTCTAGTACAAAAACTGAAAAACCGATCTAAAAAATAGCCAAAATCCCAATGCCCCTCTCTTATAGCGCAGTTTAAATGGGAACATCAATGCACCAACTAGGTGCTCTGACAAACTTGCGTTTCCCACTGATGCTCACCTACAATGTAACTAACTTTGTTTCCAAAGGATTTCACAAGACTGAGCCATGTCATCGATGGTTTGTATAAAAATGGACCCTTTCATTGTTCAAGTTTGTTCAAAGTATTTTAATCTTTTTCTCAACGTTGTATCGATTCCTTCGGTACTTAATCGATAATCTTTTAACGAAGGTAGAGATAAAACCTGTAAATAAGTAACGTGTAGTTGGATTTCTCCCTGGTGATGACCTTGGCTACAGAAGTAATGCTGTTGTAGAGAGTTGGAGATTAAAGGAATGTAGATGTGTGATAGGACCCTTGTTTATCCAGGGGAAAGTAAACCTTCTCTATTTTTGAAAAAATTATAACTACAATCAGTGAAAAAAAAAGTATGTCATACAATTGAAATATCATAAAAACACCAGTGAATAGAGAGTTCATTAGTTTGCCTATCAAAGTTTGTTTGCTCCAGTAAGTAGTCACCCATTTTGTTGATTTGCATTCGATTTCTAAATGACGATATGCCACTACAATATATCTAATTTTCAACCTGTGGTCATTTTTTCCATACCAAAACGAACTTAATTACTTTTGTATAATAGCTACTTTGTTGTATGGTAGTGCGTTCTCTGGGGACAATTCGGGTCCTAAGCATTACAAATTGACGTCATGCCGCATGACGACCTCGCCATTCAAGAAGTCTTTGAAATTTACTTTAAAATGTTATATCTCTTAATCACACCCTTTTGACTTCATCATAACATTAGCCACTTTTTAAGGAAATCTAAAGGGCATACACGAAACGTTCCTGTATTTCTTATGACATTAGACTGGCTCACATTTCAATTCACTTCTTTTGAACGATTTCTTAACTTACCGAAAAGGGTTACATTTTAAATGCACAATTTTCAGCGTTATTTAATCGCATAGAAGACAATTATCTCATACTTTTAAATCCGATCGAAGCGGATAATGAAAGCTGTAATTATGTCGAATCGTTGCCATTCACTGTATTCCTTGATTGCGTAACTTTGTCTGTGAGGACGTCCGGCTGATATTGATGCGCAGTTCCGTTTTATCTCTTAAGAAGGTAGGAACAATACTAAATAACTGAGTTGCGTAAGCCATCTTAATATCTACAATACAACTATTCTTTTCCATCAAGTAGCGTTCAATCTTAGCTCCGGACACGAACAGTTGAGGTTAGATTCAGTTTTCACTGATGGGCAATGCTGACACAAAAACGGGTTGAAGCTTGAATTACTGGACATCTGTATATGATTGTATATATCACTTTTCAGGTAGGGCTTTCTCTCGTCCATGCGATCGTGATTTTGGAAGCAATGAGGTTAATTAAAATCTGCACGAAGACTGCTTTCCACTGTCTCCTGTATTTTCAGCGACACACTCTTTTAACGACATTTTTATCACAAATTTAAAATCTTCCCAGTTTATTTGGCTTATTAGGTGTTTAAAATGCATTTCTTTTTTTCAGTGAAACTTGGTTTTCTCTCCAAGAGTAAAGAGACAAGTTTTTATCTTTCTATTGATCATCATTGCCTTGTCATGGGCTGCCTTTTGAGTCAAGAGCAAAATATATGTCACTACCAGCGAGCATTTTCTTTTCAACATGATCACGCAAGAAGAAGAAAGTTTCCCACAAGAAATACAAACCGACCATTTTCAATGTTGGCCATGAAAGAACTATCCGACAGATTAAAAGACTGGCCTTCGGGTCGACCAGTGATTAGAACTTCTGGAACTGACAGGGAAAAGCTTTGGCGGGAATGGCGTTCAGGAAAGCTGATGTGCCAGTAGTTCTTGATAAAAAAAATACTTTAAACAATAAGTTGGCTTAAAACTGGGTTTCGTTGGATTATTCATTAATTATATAGGTCACGATCTTTTGTTTTCAACAATATTTGCGAAATATCCATAAAATACTTAATTGTGAGAGGCTTTTCCTGAAGGACCTGTAGATAAATTTAGGTTACTCGTTGCCATGGTCGGACCACGTTACTGCAATATTGGATACTGACTAAGGATTGTCGAGTCAAAGTTATACAATTCAATGCACACGAAATTGTGGAATGTATGAATTTTGTGTACTGATTACCCTGAAGCATTCCACGAAAATTGACCTTGCGAACGCGTGAGAAGAACACTGCAAATGCATGTTATAACATTTTACTGCAGATGCATACCATAACATCTTACAATCTGCTGATCAGAATATAAGTGCTTCTTAAAGAATTGCTAAAGTGCCGATTCTCGAAGAGCACGGATGCACGTCGCGCCAATATTTTGTGGTGATTTAGGAGAATTTTAGTAATTAAGATAACATGAACGTAAGAAGTCAGGCAGTTTCCTTTTAAGAGATCAGAAACATAGAAAAAAGATGTAAGCGAATTACTTCCATCCCTACAAGTTCCTATCATTAAAAGGTACGAATTAATCAAAATACTGAATTTCTTTTTTTATGGGCAGGACAATACTTGAATGGATAATAATTTTTATGACAGCATTTTCGTATCAATAGCTAGTTAAATTTTCAAGAACAATTTTTCCAGTGTCGAATCTCGAACTGTTGTGTTAATAAACTCCTTCGTTAACAATGCGATGAGCTGTAGCTGTCCGGAATGGACCAGCTGTGATCTGATGACCGCTTTTCAGAAGCCGCCAATCATTGTAAGACCATACGTTCCAACCAATGGCGCCGACCCAGCCACTTTTGGCGGGCAAGTTCGCGCTCCGCCAAGGTGCTCTCCATACGTGTTTGACGTCACTTGTGCGCTCGAGTGAAAAGGTTGTGTGACCAAAGTAACTGGCTTCACGCAACTCGTAACGGGAAAACGGTTTGATACCATCAGGACCAGAGAATATCCAGTTGCCATGGCAGTCGGTGGCGTCGGCCATTTTATTTCATCGATTTTGCAAATCTAAAGAGGATCGAATGGATTGTTTTGTATCATTAAATACAAAAATCGTAAGATTGCGATAACTCAAAAAAGAAATTTTTTCCACAAGTTTAATTGGTCTTTATTTCTTGTAAAATGCAGACTTATTGATCTTCTTGAACGTGACTGGTCCTGGCTGCGGTTTATCAAACTTGTAAACCTTAGCCTGAAAACTTCAATTAACTTGATTTTGTTGTTTTGTCTCCTCTTCGTCTAAAAGCGAGCCAAACTCTCACCTTCATTGTAATAAAATGAAGGTACGATACCGTCCACAATTGTCATCCATAACAGACAAAATCTAAGCAAAAATTTTCATGGATCTGATAAATTAGACCCGTTTCATACTTTTAAACAAGACTACAGGTAGACTGACATAAGAATATCAGAAATTATTTATTATATGTCAAGACTCTTTCAACAATTAAAAAAAAATTTCAAGATTTGTTTTTTTACCTCAGATGGTTGTTCGATAATATACGTTCCGTAGATCACTGTGAGTTGCCGAGACCAATCGTGGAGGAAATCTAGTTGCTTTAGTGAGATAATGTTGAGTTAAAAGCCAGAAAACCTGTCTCCTTGGAGACAAATATGTTTTACTTTAAGTAATGCAGAATTAGAATAAGCCTGCAGTCGGTGGTGCATAATTTAAAAGTACTGCATTATTAATACCACGCATTCACACATTATACACAGGTATCTCAAGTTTGGTTTAACCACCTTTGGTGATAAATGATATGATAAAGTAAACAGTTATAAATACATTGATATAGCGCCAAAATCGACTTATTCTCCTTTGCATCTTATAGGGCTTTCTACAAAAAATCTATGATTAAGAGATATCAAAATTAATCGTAAATATGGGCATGCTTGTTTTCTTTTCATCCTTATCATGAAAATTAGAGTTACCAGCTGTAATGGTATGAATTGTAGGTTCAGTGAAAACGTGCCGTCGTTAAAGTCTCTCAAAAAAATGTACAAGATGAGTTAGTGAGTCGCTAAACAGTTGTAGACTTGACGTGCACATCATCGTTTATACAGGCCCCTATTTAAACCAGTTGTAAGCTTAACTGGGCCAGGCCGTCTACATATCGCAAATGCATTCATACATATACAAACACAATTATCGGTAAAACTGTCTCGCTGAATGTAAGTTCATACTGTGAGCGCCATCCTCTGGAATTTCTGTGTAAATGGAATACGCAGGATCCTTGGAAATTTCCGACCGGAGTTTGAGGCATCCCACTTACTACACGAGGAAACCTGAGAAACAATTGCAGACCTAAAAGTACCTTTGCAACCGCAACTTTTATTACAGTTAGCTCCGAAAGAAATGCGAAGTGAACGCGCTCTAGTGGTTGAAATTAAAATGCTTCACTCATTTTAGTATCAATCGTCCTTACGATTTCATTGTAGTTCTCATGATTTTGTGATCCCACAAGTTTATTGTAATGTGACCTGTTACAGTCTTACAGTTCCTAACTTCTTTAATACACGGTATTTATAAAATTCTAACTTATTCAGTCACAGTTTGAACTGTATAACGTACAACTTACTCAGCAGGATATTTCCAAAGTGGCATGACAAGTTGGAAATTTAAATACCCACAGGTTCAGTTCCGATTCCATTTCGAGTTCTATAGTATGTTCCTCCAATTAGCAATTGAGTTGCTCCGGAGTAGCACTGTTGTATTGTCGTTCAATCAATGCCTCGTAACAAGCTTTCACCTGCGTGCCTCTTTTCGCTTGTTCAATAGAAAGGTTAATCCACGGGTTCCGTTTGTGTAGCCGCATTGATAACACAAATAGCATCTTCTTTTTCATCATAGTGTTGGAACAATGACAGACATGACAGAGATTTAGAAACTGGCTCCTGATCACATTTCTCTGCCTGTCATTTTTCGTTATGAGTAGGATGAGGGAGTCTAAATTGTCTTTCACTTTCTCCACGTACACTTAGAAAATATTTTCTTTCGTGTGGGATATAATTTTTCAGGCTACTACTCATGCTGTATAGACGGATAAGTTCCAAAGATGAGTTTTTCCAACTCTGATCTCTAGGAACATTTGGCCAAAAACTTATCCCGCTACTCTTTGAGATCTTTCACCTGCTTTGCCTTGAATTATTCGTGGGAAACTATTCTTTTTATCTAAAACCCCTCAGGGACACATTTAGCAGCCTCCCTTCACTTTTTACCCTCGGAACACCGTTTGCACTCGCTTACCATGGAGATACTTTCTAGACCGATTTCTGCTAGGGAAACGTTTGGCCCTCTCTCTTTGAGGCAGTCTTTACCTATACACCTCCACAAAATTGCATCACAAGTTTTGATAATTATACCTAAATCGTCGATTTGATTAACTTTTCTCTTGCCGAATGCATCGCTCACAGCTTCTCTGTTCTTGTGTAATCAAATATCCCAATAAAGAACTTTTTCGCTCATAACGACGACTATATGCTTCTCCAAAATAGGAGTTGCTGGTTGTCAATGGAGCAGCTGATTGAAGTTCAACGAAGCTCAAATTCTTTCATGAGAGAATAATTGGTCGGAGTGCGCATATTATCGAAAACCGCAACAAACGAGGAAAGATTCTTCCGGAGCCCACTGTTTACTCCAATACAAAGGTAAAATGTCTTTAATTTTAAATCTATAATTAAAATACGTGTGGGTCATTACGTGCTATTGGCATAGATAGTTTATAACCAAGTGGAATAGAATGAATGGTCGTAATTCTTTTCGTTCTTCAGCTGAGAATCTCGATCACCTCTTCTGGTTACTTCGCCTAAAGTTAAACATCGGTCCAGCCATCCAGAGTTGCTTCGTAATGTATCGATAGATGTTGCACGGCTGCGGGCATCGTCGGAGACTGTCGCAAGCGACCCGGCGTAACTTCTTACGTCTTCAGGAAACGATCCTAGGTGGAGGTTGAATACATTCTCAGGCCGCCTTCGGAGAAGATCTGGAGTTGATTGGTTCATTCTTAACAACAAGGAACTATTTGCATAACGTTGCGGAATATCTCCAGCTCTAGGTTTCCTCTTTGGCAGCTGTTTTACCATTTTTTCCGCACGGAAAATTATACTGTACAACTTTGCCGAAAATAGGGGGAATAACACAGCTGAAGCGGCTAAAGGGTAGCTCAACCTAACCACCCTTCCTCGTATCAAGTTTTGGCTGTTCATGGTGCAAACTACTGATAAAACAATTAAATGCAATGTGGCTGCTGTATATATCGCCAAACCTAAACTTTTGGTTTCTTTAAATTGCTTTGGGAGCTTACGGGTTTTGAATGTGTAGACCCCACACAGGGCGAGAAGGCTTAGATAGAAGGAGTTGGTGACTACCACGTGCGGGTTTGAGATGTTGCATTGGACAATAACCTCTTTTGCTGAATAGATTCTCAAAACGCTGTCTTGGTAGCTGGAAACAAATAAAAATCGTATGAGGTGAGGTCAATTCTCTTAAAGAAAGAAATAGAGGATACCCGACGAATTTCTGGAGTTATTCGGTTGAGGAGGGTCACTTAAAAACAAAGAAAATAGTACACAGTAGAAAATATCGCTTTTTATGACTCAATATCGTCCGTCTTTGATTAACCTCGAGACAATACTGATGGCGAGATGGCACCTTATTCAAAACCCACGCAATTACTTACATCGTAAAGTAAAGTCATTAAAATATATCCTATTCAGAATTAATTTCTGAAGGCTGGATGAAAATTTCCCGAATTTAGATGGCATCGAAAATGGTGGACCAGGCGCGGAGTGTCTTGTGGTTGACTTGGATCCTTTAAGTGGTCAAACATCAAACGCGAAACGTAACTACCACAAGTAAATAAAATAAGTTAACGTTGCCATTACTTTTTGTTAGATACTTACGTGAAAAAGCCCCAAATCGTGGAGAAAAGTAGGGCGATTCCTAAGATGAATCCTATGAATCCTAGCTGTGAGCGCGTGCTGACAAATGTAGGATTCAATGTTTTACGGAGTGAGCTGTTGAAGAGACGATTCACTCTCAGAACCTTGGAGGTCATCACAGCATAGCAAGTGACATGGCCTAAACAGGTGTATCCTCTCAAACTGCAAACGCGTTTATCTAGGGATAGGACATAAACATATTCAATTAAGTTATCAGGGACTATCAGTTTATGGTTTTCTTACCCGGCGTTATAAGGGACAATCTGACAAATGCAACGCGCCGATACATCAAATCTGTAGAGTCAATTTCCAAGTGAACGACTGAGGTTGATGTTAGTATAATTGTAACAATTGGAAAAAGATCCTCATCACAAGGAAAATTTATTGTACATAAAATTTATAGAATTTGGCAACAGCATTTCTATAGATTTGCTCTTCCTACTCTAATTCCAACGCGAACGGAAAATTTGGTGTTGCTTTTTACAATGAAACAAAAACCGGAAAGTATGAACATGGATACATTACGTGGCTCCATTAAATCTACGAAGCTTTCAGCGAAAGATATCATGATTCCAACCAACAAGATACAGCTTAGCCCGCGACTAGACGCTTTGATGACTGGATGATGCTTGAGGATGACGAACACGCCCAGCATGAACAAAGTACAAAGAATTCCAGTGGCTGAGAGCGACAGGGTGAAGAGAAGCAGAGATGACGACGGGTCGACATTGATAACTGGTTTAGGTAGGCAGTTTACTCTTTTTTCATCTGGCTAAAATAAACATTATAACATGCGGCCAAACATATCACTTGAGGTCTCTCAACTTAGTGTAGTATAACCAGAAGCAAAGTAACCACATGGGCCGATCAGAGCAAAGTGAAAAATCCTAAACAGTCAACGAGAATTTAAAACGACGCGTGGGAAAACCCGAGTGATTTGATAAGTTTAGAGGCAACACGAGTTTATGAGACAATCACGGAGCGTATTGGGGAAAACCAACGCAATCCCTGATTATCTACGACGTTTTTAATGAGAAATGCTCCAAGTACTGTCTTATTTAGATAAAGACTATCATAAAAATCCTGAAAAGATGGTTAAAAGTAGTCCAGATTTTAATTTCATGAAAATCAAAAGAACAGCTCCTCGCTAATAAGTGAGAACACAAGGTTTCAAAGTCGTTGTTTCTCTTCCAACACCAATTTCTCAAATAGGCGGAACACAGCTGTGACCAAAGTTGTAAAATAGGATGAAAACGAAAATAAACGAGCCAGTCAAGGCAATGAGGTTGATCAGTGGTGACATTGCTGACATTCGCTTTTTTTTCGAAGCTTGGCAGAGTAAAGAATTATGATATACCATGGCAGTAAATGCCGAGTTCTAAATCAAAGCTTCCCCGTCTGTAGTTATAAAAATTGTTCTTAAATGGGGAATATTAAATGAATAGTGATAAAATTCTTAACAACGATATGAAAAATCATAATTGCAAAGCTATATTACCATGAAGTCTGGTGTGCATGTTGTACATTCCGTTTGATTGCTCGATGTGATCTCATCGGTTTTACATGGTTCGCATCTCCAACAACAAGTCTCGATAGTAATTTTTCTTTCTCCCACATCGCATGGACGACTGCAAAAGGTTCTGGGCAGTATAAGTGCATCCTCAAATAGCTGCACTTTAACAGGCCCCGCCCCTTTTATCGGTGGACCCCAGCGGCCGAACTTTTCGACGCCCCACGATGACCCTTCTTTCTTAGGTCTTAATATGTCGTATTCTGCGGAAAGATCTCCGTTTTTGTCGAATTTTATCTTCCGTCCGTTCAACGTCGTATAATTTACATTCAAAATATATTCCAGCAATAGGGTTTGATGAGTGATTTTTCTTTCAAACACGTTGCGGCGTTAGAATTATTTGCACAGTAAGTTTTGCACATTTTGTCCAGTGCGTGAGCAAAAGCGTACACGGAGTTGATGACGCTTTGAATGTATAAATCTGCGGATATTGTTTTTCCTTCATTTTCAGGGCGATATTTTGAGGTTTCGTACTTTAGTTCTATTTCTGAGAACCACGGGCTGTGACTTACATTGTTCCTGTTTCTCCATTCCATGAATCTCGTTGACTTTTCATTACGAGGTGAACACAAAACTATATTTTTAGCGATATCTTCGTTTCCATTTAAGTAAACGGACATCTCTGCGTAATCACCTCCCACAAGCCATCTGAAAAACCTTTCCTTTCCAAACTTTTTAACCGATGTAAAAAGCAAACTTATATCACTTTTGGAACAAAAGAGGACAATAACTTGGGCATTTATCTTTTGGCTTATGTCCATGACTATGTCATCAAATTTTAACACTGTATGACCTTGAGGTAGCGCCCTTGTTATACCAACACAGATGCCTCGCTCTTTCGCCGCTTGCGTGAAGTATTTTTTCCCCTCTCTGCCAAACTCATCGTCAGAATATAGAACTGACACGTATTTTGTTTCATTTTTCAACAATAGATCCACCAAAGCTTGAGCGCGCACAGCGTCAGAAGGAACTGTTCTGATAAAATACTTGAAGCGGCTCTTGTCGCTGAGTAATGGACTGGTTGCGCCATAGCTCACATGCGGCACTTTGAAAAGTCCAAGTAGATTGGATACCTGAAGCCCGACACTGCTGGAATAAGGTCCTACAACACCAACCACTGGTGATAAAGGCTTTTTCCAGCACGACGGAAGGAAATTAGAAGCTTTCTCCAACGCTATTACGTCTTTTGAGCAATAATCGAAGATTTCAAATCCTAAAGAAATCCCTTGCAATATACTTGAATTTCTGTTTGTTTCATCAATGGCGTACATCATGGCTTCGGCAAAGTAAAGAGCGTCAAGGGATCGAAGATCGCCGCACTGACCTTTACAACAATTCGAGCAATAGGAATGGACGGGAAACAAGCCGCCCAGAATAAGATCTCCCGCTTTGAAAGCTCTATCCGTGAGGTTCATTTTGCAACCAAACGAACACAAAATTAAGTTCAAAATGAATACGATTCGAAACGAATTCGTTCGGTAAATCATGCCAATTAACAAAACCTTCCAGGTAGATATTCTTCTTCTTCAAAGTTCTGCGTGTGTATGGCAAGACTGTTTCCTTTTGGGATAAAACAAGTCCACTGCTAAATGGCCGCATTAGCAAAGGTTACGAAATTTTTTTGAAAATAGCTTTGTCGTTACGACCCCTTGAAGTAATTGCAGGAAAGAGGGAAAACACTTAAGGAAATCTTTAAGTTTTTTGGCGCTTATACATCCGGACATGTGAATGTGGAGCTGTTGTGGCATATTTACATCGGTCACTTTGATCCCAAATGTATGATACGCTTTCTAAATTAATTGTTTTGACATGCAAGCGAATTATGTATGACACAAACTAGGAGTTTCTCTTCTCATCCAGCCTTTGAAGAAAGTCTCAAGCTTCAGGGATGGAATCTTCCTTTAGAAATTTAAATCCTTGCTCCAGAAATTTACTTTAATTTGTAAATGTGGCTGTAAACTGATTCACCAATTTTAGTATTGCAATTAGATACACAACAATTTAACCCATTTAAAATAAAGTAAAGCTTATCCTTTTAAATTTCGCTTTTGCTCCTCAAAACTGAATATGAATTTGTGGTACACCTGCTGAATTCAGACGTAATTAAAACCAAAATCTCGCGATTGGACAAACTGTAGTCAACACTGAGAAAGCATGATTAAATTGCCTGCTAAAAACATTCTACGTCCTTGCATTTAAAGTATACATCAAGTAAGATTTTAGAACAGCTTACAGTATATCGCTTTGTTTTCACTTAACCAACGTCCCTTTTTACTTTTCAAGTAGCAGTCAAGTATTATTATCTTACAAGCCGTGACTGACGACAAAACAAAAGGCCACAAATAAGCATACTTTAAAAAACTGTTCGAAATTGCTTTAATGATTTGCTCAGTCATTTATAATTTACGAAGAAAGAGAGAGTCATTGTAGTCTATTAGCTGGAAAGGGGCAAGGGTATTTTTGTAACCAATGCAAGCTCAGCAATTGCATCACCAAGCGATCAAGTTTAGAACTGATAAATGTGTTTCTGATCTTGGCAATTTTAATGCTGAGAGCAATTAGCAAATATCGGAAATAATATGTCCAACTTCAATTATTCCGCAGAAGTGTCATGTCGCGGATCACGGTTACAACTGATGATATCTTTGAATAGATGTTACTCATCCTCAAATGGGAAAAGGTCCGTGAAAAAGTTATGTAACATCAGTTTGACTAGGTTGAATTTGTTTTAAACGGAATAAGGAAAACACTACCCCCCCCCAAAAAAAATTGAAGACACTTGGGAAATTTGGAAACAGATCACGATTATGATTGGATTTTATACTAAAATGAGTTTGAATTCCTGAAAATTAATTTTAATACTCGGGTTTAAATTAAGGGACTAGAATTTGCATAATAATCAGTTTCTTTGGGGTAATCTAAAGTGGCCTTTTCCTGTTGGCAAAAAAGGGATCTTCCACATTATGGCGGCAAAATACTCATTTCTGTTTCAACAATGGGAGAAAATGACGGAAATTTTTAATAAGGATAATAACAATGTTCATCAAATATTTATTGCTAATACTCAAGACGATTACGGACTTTCTGAACAGACATTCTTAGCACATTTTCTTATTAAATAGACTCCTATGCTGATGGTCTCAATCTCCTCGCTCAGTTCGTCAATACATCAATCTTAATCACAAGCGACCAAGGTTCACTAAACGAGAAGCGGGAAGGCCATATAGCAAACGAAAAACGACGTGTGACATGCGTTAGTTAACAATTACATAACATCGGTTTGATTTAGTGAAACGTGATTCTCGCTAGGGGGTTGGCCAGGATATGCCGACTTCACCTAGGTTTCCTTAAGCTTTTGGCTGTGGTTTACTGATGCAGTTCAATAAAGGTGACTGTAAACCTGCCAAGCAACCCGCCATATTCTTTTTTCACTTTCCTTCTCTTGTACCATGCGCACTATAACGCCTGGAAATTATTTGGAGTCAAAAATCTAAAGAAAATCATCTTTTGAAGACGAATTTCTAAATGAAACTGGAAGGTCTCAATATAATAATCTCCGAATAGGTGGAGGTTATACGTACAAATGCTGCAGATAATTTTTTTGGATTCATACAACTGATTCAACCAGACGCTAAGTATAAAAAATTCAGATGTGTGAACGGCAATGTCGTATATCATGGTCGGTTTTGCGGGCAAACGTTTTATGTTGTGTAGAATCACAAATGCTGCTTTGTTACATTAACTTGACGCCAGTAATCACCATCCTTATCTCGTAAAACACTGGCCGCTGGCGTTATCTTCAGTGTTAAGATATGGTAAGTTAAAACAATGATTTTTAAAGTTAATCCTCCTAAACGATTAAAATCAGCGGATGTTTTCTTTTCCCAAAAGGAAACGAAGAACTTCTTAACGATTTTAACATAGAAAGGTCATTCGATTCGAGCAGAGGGCCTGCTAGTGATCTTATGTTCATATAACGCTCTTTTTAATCTGATCGAATTTGCATGACATCGTCATTCTGTTATATGCGTTAATTTTCTTCCACATTTTGTATGACGAAATTTAAGGAACTTACGATGATAAGCCTTACTTACCCTGAGAGACTATGTCTTGGAATAGGCAACTAGTTCCTCAACATGCAACAGCTTGCAGAAATGCAAATCTTGGTCTGGCGATATTTTGGTGGAACTTTAGTTTTACTCCGGGACGAATCGAGAATTTGGTTGTTCAAAGGAAACTAGAAAGCTATTGCATGTTTTGCTTTACTTTGCTTCTCGAGGAGCTAAAAATAATGCATTTTTCGTGTTTTTGAGACACGGATATATTACGTAACCAGTGCGTTTCGCAACACTGAAAATTATTTTCATGTCTTTCTCATCTACCTCATGTAGAAATTCTGGTGTAAAGATTGATTACGACCTTAAGTAGAAAGTAAAAGAACCTTTATCCATATGAGATGCATGAGCAGTGTGTCTATTAAGTGAAATTTCCCCTGTTTGCTTTGCTCTCAGCACAACGAAACACGTTAACAAGCGGAACGTTCTCTCTTAAACTATCAGCTTCTTGACAAACCAGGTCTCCTTTATCCATCCTTTGTTTCTGTAATGTTTAGAGTAACTTAATAGATAAAGAAACGACGAGCTGACATAGATCGAAGTAACCAGACAATTAAAGAATTTACAACACATTATCTTTCTTGGTTTTTATTTTTTTCAAAGCTAGGTATTCATTCTAGAATGGTATTAGATAAAAAATGTCACATCATTAAATGTCTAGTTTTTGACAACTCATGTCTTGCCGATCACGCATGCGTCATGCCAATGAAATTTACGAATGGCTTCATTTGAGAAGATTTCTTGCTCGTTTAGGACGATTTAAAACAAATATTGCAAACGAATTGTCAGTACATCTTCTTGCAATCTATAATTCTGATGGCCAAGAAAACTCGTGGGCGTTTCATTCTTTGCCAGGAAAATTTGAAGCGTTCGTAATGGCTCGTGCTTTAGGCGGAGCGAGTCAGTTTTAAACTGCGGTCGAGTGCTTTGAATGTTGCCTCCTCATCATTTTACTCTAAAAGGAACAGGAAAAAATGGTCTTTGAAAAAATTACTCGTACTTATTTATTTCAAATTGCACTCATAATCAGCTCAGTATTTGTTCGTGATATTCATTTAATTGCACACTTAATTCCTTCAAAATTCACATTTTTGCACTCAGTTTCAACTTTTCGCAAATTTTATGGTCCTCATCGTTTAAATCCTCGGAGGATGATAGAGTGTTTGATCTCAATTTTCAAAAACCGCTTTCGCTGAAAATTGTTCATTTTTGGGGATTTTGTGGATTGTGTTAGCTCCGCAAAAATGCGTTCCTGTAGAAAATGAAGCTTGTAGATTGGAACGCTGAAAAATATACCTTTGGTACATTGAAAAATTCCATGAAGGGAGACTGTTTTAAACATTTAACTTATAACCCTGATTTATATTTGATTACGATTTGGGGAAATGTCTTTGATAAGCATAATGTGCTATAACTCAATTGGTTTATATCTGCTTCCCTCCGTTTTAATGTTCTGCAGCTGGAAGAATATCGAAAAGATATTGCCAAATTTGTATTTCGCCCACGCTCAGTTCCTGATGAAATTTTCCATGCCACAAGCAGATTTCAGCTAGAAAATCTATGAACGTTATTCATCTATAGCGTCCTACCTTTTTGACTGATACTGTCTTTCTATCCTCCATTAAATGCCTCTTTGGCACAGAATTCTTTGAAAAAGCATCTTTATGTGTTTGGGAAGGTTTCCTATGTTTAGTCTTGGTGTCCTCCTTCTGGTGTGTCTTGGAGCGCTGAAATTGAAATTAACGTTGATATCCAACCAAACTGAGCTTAATACGGCTAATTTTTAAAAATGCCTCGCTATTTGTTGTGAAAGCAAGGTAATTGCAGATCGACAAGAACGTTAGCCGTGGCTCACTTGCATTTTCTTAGATGTTGCCGGTCTTAAAGTCACTCAGAAAAAAAAGGGGTTCATTTAGATAGGTGAATTTGGTAAGAATATCGATGGAAGAGATGAATTGTGATGATGGTGTCCGTCCAATAGAGGCCAAAGGTATCAATTGTTTGTCCTTACAGCGACGTCAAAGTCGTTTTCAAGGCTTTACTTTGTCTAACTGATAGTAAAGTTAAATCGTTACCTGGAAGTCTCGTGGTCTTGCTATTGTTGACTGTTCAGGGATAAAAGTAAGTCGTCAGTGAGTCAGTAGTATTCTGCCGCAGTTATTGTTATCATTAGTCCGTAGAAATGATGAAAATGTCTTTGTCCATTCCTTTTGAAGTATTTATAAAGAAAGTCATAACTTACTATGTAGTAATAGCTAGCAGGCACATGTGGTGAACTTATGTGTCAGTGGAAGATGAACAGATTTGTGATGTGATAGTAACGTAGCGTTTACGGTACATTTCTGAACAGAATGCTTTTTCCTATTCGAAATAACTTAATAGTGTCTATGATCAAACCACACCTCTGATGTACGGACACCCTTCATCTTATTTACTGAGATACAATCTTTCTTTTTCAAACCAAACAAATTTAAAAAATATCCTTTCGTGATTCTTTTATTCACCAAGAATATTTTAACCTTCCCCAAAGATCAATCATGCACATGATTATCCTTTCTTGCGTCTCTGGATTCAAGGTTTGCTCTTCCTTGCTGAATGTATGTTGACTTTTGCCTGTATTTTATCAACCACGCCTTATGAAAAGAGAAAAGCAGTAGTGACAACATGCATAAGTCACGTACGATTGACGGTTTTCAGTTATAGATAACGTCGTTTCGATGTTTAATTTTTTTTTTTCGGCTTTTTGCCACAAACCTTTTTAAATGACATTTGCTGTTGTGCAAATTGTCCTCCACCGCCCATGGTCGGCAGACCTGCCAATCCACCGCCCATCATACCTTGTAAGCCTCCTTGAAGACTACCTCCCATCAATCCTTGCCCTTGCAAGCTGCTAACGCCTCCTCCATCAGATAGCATTCCACCCTGCACTTGTTGCCCCCCTGCAAAAGCAGATGTCAAGCTCTGCATCCCTTGAACATCCTGAGCTCCCTGGATTCCTTGCAAGGATCCTCCCCCTGCTCCACCTTCGTTCATGCGGCTCACTGCAGAGTCACTCAATCCTGCCAGACCCCCTTGACCTAATCCTTCCTGATTCACGGCACCTTGCTCCAAGGCACCTCCATATCCAGCTCTTTCGGATGCCACGGGAGATTGCTCCATCGGTGATACTTGACTTTGTGCTCCAAGTTGCTGCCCCCCCTCTATTCCTCCAAAGCTTGCTATACCTTCACTTACACCCTGGCTTCCACGTGCTCCTAAGCCACCGATTACCATGTTGTTTTGTTGAGATGATCCTCTCATCTCGCCCGGCAACATTTTGTCGGCTTGGTGAACGAGGCTTGAGATCTCTGTGCGAAAATTTTCGGTTAATTGAAACGCCTCACGTCGGCTGTATGCTTGTGTGTGTGCTGTTGTTGTTGTTGTTGTTGTTGTTTTTTTTTTTTTTACTGTTTAGAGTGTCTCTTGAATGTATGAGATTAATTTTGGAACAAAAATGATGACTACCAGCGATACTCGTTAGCAAGAGGGAAGTATGAAATTTCCTAATTTCTTTTTAGATATTTTCGAACTGGAAAAGACTCGACAGAGGAAAAGGGGAACTACGAGATATTTGGACCAACCTGGCTGACCAACGGATAGATAAGGTGACGAATATTCCTGAAATTCCTCTGCGTGGTCAGGGTTTTTATGTGTCCGTCATCATGCAGGCATGCAAAAGGAGAGACACATTCAACAAGATGTCTTGTTAGAATGCTGGAATATGTGCATCATTAGTTTATCTATTAATCGCCAAAGTGAGGAAGCTCTCTGTTGGTAAACTGTTCTAGGTAGCTTACTTGTAAGCTAGTTGAGTCAACGCATTTGAAAAAAGTTAACACTGGCATAGCTAATTGCGATTTATAGTCGTGAAAGGACCACTTTTAGGTGGGTTAAGGTTATTACAGTTGGTTAAGATTAGGAAAGTTAGAAGGCATCTTACAGTCAGAGCACATTTCGGTGGTGAAGAAAAAGATGATGGGTATATAAATGCATTAACCTTGGTTCTCAGAAGGAGTAATTCCTTTTTGCTGAGCTCCTACAAAGGCCATTGGTTGCCCTCTTCCTCCTTCTGGATTTGATATCCTTGGTTGCATACCTTCTTGATCCTGAACCTATTTTGATGAGCAAATACTGTAAACAATCATCACTGCACTTTGATAGGCAAACATACATAACGAACGACGTTGTTAGTTGGTGTTCAAATGAAAAGTTTGGGGATACATTGAGCTTTTCATGGTAAGTGATATGATACATGGATCTCGAAATGAATCATCTTCTACATCAGAATTTCATGGAAATATGAGTAAAAGTCACAATAAGGGCAAGGTGTGGCGGGTTGATGAATATAATTATTCATTTATTTCAATCATTAATATTCATTGATTATCGGATTCAGTTTCGAGGTTGTAGCGTGCACTTTTGCCGACTTCCGCATTCTTTGTACTTTACTTAGCGCAGTTGGATAATGACAAACAATACAAACAATGAATTTTTTATTTACGTTTTGTACAATATCGGTTGCTTTTGTAAAAAGAAAAACATCCGTAAAAATGTTCCATTTAAGCTCGACAAAATAAATCAGTAAATGGTGGAAAGTAGAAAGTGAAAGAGTATTACATACCCCGCCTGCTCCCCCAACTACTGAAGCACCTCCGTTGCCAATTGATGCAGAACCGCGTGAAGATTGAGACTCAGCCGCAATGGCGCGCTGGATCTCATCCAACTCATGTGCACTTTCAGAGGCAACTTGGGCTTGAATGCTTTGTTTCTGTGTATATACAAGGAAAAAGAGTAAAAGCAGCTCTACGGCTCTTAACTAGCTAATTAAAGCAATAGGGACACGGAAAATGATTTGTATGGAAGACCAAAGTTTATTACGTGCTCACAGTACTTTGGTGAAAGAGCTTACGATTTGCAATCTTTGTGATATCTTGTCCACTCTCTACCTTATGCTAAGTGAATTGTTTGCTGAATGAAAGCTTCAGCAAGTCCTTGTTAATGAGGCATTTTAGACATAGTCATTTTTACCTCTGCAGCGTCTTGTCTTTGGATATTTGTGGCCCAGTTCACACCTTTTCCTCCATCTTCCCAACCACCACCTCCACCTCCTCCTCCTCCTCCTCCTCCTCCTCCTGTGCCATATCCTTCTCCGGTTTCGTATTTCTTTTCCTCTTCAGCTTCCATGGCTAAGCGATCCTCCAGCCTAGTGTCTTCTTTGTACTCATTATTGTTTCCTCCAATGTCTCCCAGTTCACCCAGTCCTAACATCTTCCCCATTCCGCTTGGCTTTCGGTTTACCTTGTGCTCCTTTACTCGCTTTACATGGGGTCCTTCGTCCAGATCACTTGCTACAAAAATGATGATAATTTTACATAGCCATTTTGCAACTAAGGTTTTATTGAAGATGATATTAAGTTGGCAACGAAACTGAGGAGCTGATCGAAGACTGCTGCCCTGACACAAATTTTGGTGCTAAGTTTCATAAGGTTCCCACTAATTAGCATAGATTCAAATAGAACAGAGAATCTCACCATTTCAGTTTTAGCATGGTTGAACTTAACTAAGGGAATCGCTGGGTTTACCTGACGTCTCATGTTTTCTGGAAGCTGGTGGCTTCTCGTCTGAATTGTGATCATTACTGCCCTCACTTGCTTCAGAGCTTTTGATGCCCTCAACTCTTGTCTCGGCCTTATGTCCATGCTTTACAGCATCTTGCGCAGCTAGACTTGCGTCTAGTTCAGCTTTTTGCACTGCCTCTTTTACTAAGACAAAAACAAATTTTTGACCATACTATGACATCACTCACTATAACAGAGGCCAATATTTTTCATTCAGGGAGCAGCTGTACTCATGAATTATGTCCAAGTTTATGTAAAACACTCATTAAGAAAATTAACAACGGGTTTAAGTCCCACGAACGGGGGAGAGCACAATACACATTCAACTATGAATAGTATTGCTAATTTTTTGCGTGAAGGTTTAAAGTTCGTTTAACCCTTGATCACAACCTTAACCAAACTATACTAATTTGTTTATTATTTCCGCGGCACATGCATTTGGAGGTCACATGCATGATTTGAAATTACACTTACCTTTATCTTCAAGATTAACCGACTTTGGAGTCGCTGGATGCGCTAAGAACGAATCAAATAAAGAAATTTGCACGCTTTTTTGTCCATAAAACACTCCTTGTGATTTGTTTGACCATGCACCATAAATAAATTTGGTGCATCCTACAGATTAGTTAGTTTCCTCTTTTCCTTGTGATTCTTGGGAGCATCAGGCTCAGAGGATAATTCCCACTTATCCCAGCTCCCGTTGCGCTTATCAAATTAAAGACACAGGAAACAGTTCACAAAGCTCACCTTCGTCTTCGCCAGACTTTCCAGAAGATGACTCCAACGGTGCCGAGAAAACTGTAACAAGAATAATGTCAATAATAACATACATGTGAAGCAAGCAGACGAATAGCTAAACAAACTGTAAGCATCTAGACAGCACAAAGCTATAAACTGAAACAAACAAGCAAACAGGAAAGTATACACAATAGAGCAAAACCTCTGTCAATGATTGTTGCAATTAAATTTTGATTTTCTTCGTTTTGTTACCAAGTTGAGGCCTCACAGTGACTTTAATTAAGCTTCGGGGATTGTCTATCCTCCTCTTTTGATGGATCCATTGAAAATATACTTAACAAGCCCAATAAGCAACTTATTGCAAGCATGTCCCAAAAAGACTTTGTCAGTGACCAGATTGGGACGGTCTCCTCTTAAGAATAGAGAGAAGGCAAGTGAATCGAAAAGCACAATAGAGTACCTGTTTCTTACTTTTTCACTTTCAATTTACTATTATTTTTAGCTTAATAAGATTTGTCGCCACTCTTAAGCTGTCCGTACAAGCAATCATTTCGATATGACATTGTCCATTTTTCGCTGATCGCGACTGTAATGTCTCTCTAGATTTTACCCGGACTTCTTAAAAACATCACGACTTTACGAGTGCACTAATATTCAGTTTAGCCTAAATTGTGAAAATAAGAATATGATGGATGTTTATTTGGTCTTGGAGTCCAACAAATATCACTCTCTTGGAAAGATACGTAGAAATTTTTGAGACAGTTCGCTTACATCAATAAAAAGGACGGCAAACTTTTGGCAATAGTTTTAGATACAATACGGTTTCAAATCGTAAATGAAAGGTCAAGTCAAATGGAAAATATAGGATAAGGAAGCTGAGATAGGAGCCAAAAAACCATAATTACGAGATTGCGACTTAAAAACAGAACTGATAATTATGATACAAAATGAAGACATAACAATTTCCATCTGAGGGAACTGGGTCACATTTGAAGTTAGTACATCAATCGTTTGTTACTTGTGGCGAGGCTGGTGGAAAGAAATTAGAATATTGAAACATCTCACAGCATGTCGGTACCATCGTATATCCAGGTTGATTGATATTTGTAACATAAAACTTACCCGCGTGCGACAAACACAATGTCAGGCACGTTAGAAGAAGTCTCCTGTTCATTCCACGGCCTTTCCTTGTTCGTTATTGTTTATTTATCGCAAATTTGTACCTGCCAGGAAAATGATATATTATTTTGCCACCAAAAGTTATGTCTGCTCCGGTTATCAGGCCCTGTTTGTTAATAAGTTTGTATAGACTGCTCGCCAACAACAAACTTTATTAGATTTAATCGTTTTTATCAACATGTTTCTACCATATTTTCAACTTTGCTCCAAATCCTCTTAGCAAAGCAGGTTTTTTCTATGTTGCTTGTAATTATTATTGTTTATATAATAAAATCTGTTCCATTCGCAAGCTGAAATATTTTGCTTTGTATATGTAAATAAGAGTTAAAGAAAGCTAAAAACTTCAATCACATTCTAACTTACCGTTCAAAAAACAAAAATCCAGATCAAAGAGAACTTGAAAATGTTTCCTATTTGGTCATTTCCACTAAATGACGTCATTACATTCAACAAGATGTTCTAAAGTCAAGCAAAATTAAATATTTACCACTAAGTTGTGCAGTCCATCGACTTCGCCAATATTTAGCCTGCACGTGGGAGAAGGTAAAGATTAAATGTTTAGTTAAACCAAGGTTATCAAGAAGAAATGAAGGCGATGGTTGCTTGTATCCTCTTTCTTGAAGGATCATTCTGGGGTTGCCATGTTGTAGGAGGGTTTCGACTGTGCTTAGTGTTTCGTGATTATTCACCTGCTGACTCCGAACATGAGACTTAAAACTGTTCTTGCTGATAGACTGATAAATCACTTCGCTCTGGTAACGCTTCAGTAACACTGGAATATTAGTCTCTCAACAGGCGGATCGTTTTAAATCGATTGACAGGTATAATAATTTGACTAAGGTGATAAATGCAAACACCAACACAACCTTGTTATGTGCATTCTGTAGAAACATGGTGGGTTTACCTAGTACATAACCGTTGGTTATCTACACTACATGCATTGTAATTTCTTAAATTACGCCGTGTTAGTTGCATGTTTAGAATCCGTAGTTGCGTTGTAACAAACGCTAGATAAACTTTTTTGTTTTGCTTTGAGCGCCTTATACCGAGCAGCTCACATATGGCATGCGCGTACACAGATGAAGTGGCATTGGCAATGCATACAGGACACCTTATTGGACACCGTATTTAACACCTTTTCCAAACTTAGTGAAGCGCTTGGGACATATTTGAATGCTATCGAATCACAATCTTCTAGAAAACATTTGCAATATGTCTTTAAAGAGGTCCTGTTTTTGTAAATATATACACCTCATTCTCTGGTTTAACATATAATACGCGCGGATATTTTGCGAGTTGCGTTTTTTTTTTGCGAGCCTCATAAGGGCAAGGAATTATACTGGCAATGAGCAAGATGTTCGCTCGCATTACATGTTAAACTTTAGAACAAGAGTTTAATTTTCTACCATTTGACGTCTAGTTTTGGAAATACTCCCGACAGTTTAATCTGAGCATCGCACCGATCGCATACGACGTGCGTAGAAGATGAAGTAATTTGAAAAAGTTTTCTTTCCGACCACCAAAAATCTTCTGGGCCTAACGTTCGTTTCTGAGAGAGTCATGCCTGAGAAAAGGAAGAACAATCACTGTTTGGGTAGTTCAGTGCGGCCATTTTGCTGCTCCACTTTCCCCCTGTTCTACTATGAAATATTGTTACATATTTTTCGCGTTCCGTTGCCCCAATATGGTAAAATGGCGTAATAGTAAAATAACAATATGATATAAAAGTTGATAACTCGGGCTATTTAATTAAGATGATACAGGGAATTTGCAAGGTTACATAACAAACTCATGGACTTCAGCAATAAGGGAATTGTGGCAGGAATTCACAGGTTAAAGTAAAGTAAAACTTTTATCAGACAGGGAAGCCAATTCAGCTCAGTGCTATAGTACTGTCACTAGACCTTTACCGTGTTAACTCCTAAAATTCTGTTGTGTGATTAAAGCGAAGGAAGTTGTGCTCTAATAAGGGAATCTTTTAGAGACCTGTCCTTCTGATGACAACAATTAAGGGATTAGGATATATTTGCGCCAGGTCATTGTTGCCAGAAATGAGGTACCAGAGTCTCTAAAGAATCTCTCTAAGTTTCTGGTTGGCAGGGTTGAAAGTTGGAACGAACGGCAAAATCTTTTAAATGATTTCAGTTTGTTTTTTAAAGCCGTGTTGCATGATAAACAATTTTGGTTCGGTTGAGATCTTTTCGACGAGGTCCTGAGGATAGCCTTGTTTTATATGGCGAGTTACAAAGTTTTTTCTTCTTCCATTCAAAAGATTGTTGAGATTGTTGAGAGATTGTTCTCAGTAAGCGTAGTGCTTTTCCTTCTACAAAACCTTTTAAACACTGAGAGGGTGGCATGGAGAGAAGTGCGTTTATTGGAACGTTTCTGTCGGCTTATAATATGTGTAAAACATCACGGATTTTGCTGTCGATAAATCTGGGTCCTTTAAAAAACCTCAGTATTGAGGAAAACAATTTTTTCTGACGACAGTTTATGCGTGAATATGATAGTGGCGTAGAATGAAATCGTAGAGCGAAATCAATGAAGTTGTTGATTTCGGTTTCGGAAAAGGTCCACACGGAAAAAAATGTCTTCAATGTATCTTTTGCAAAGAAATGGTTCATGTGGGCTTGTAGCTAGTAGCTGTTTCTTAACATGAGCCATGAATATGACCGCAAAAGCTACCTCTATTTTTGTTTCCACAGCTATTCCGTGCGTTTGTAGATTGTGTTTGTCGCCGAATTTGAGAATTTTCGTTTTGTTGGGATCGGACGTTTTGACTGAAATGCTCTTCGTAGTTTTGACAGACGACTTTAATTCCCTCTTTTGGGGAATGTTAGTATAACTGATTAGTAAAAACGTCGAAAGTAGCTAAAACCGCTTCTTCTGGAAGTGGAGTGTTTTCGATGAAGTTTATAAACTGAGTAATGTCTTTAATGTAAGGCTTGTGTTTTCGCGATCAGTTGTAAGAACTGGAAATACATTCTGTCGGGCCATGTTACTAGACACGATGGGTCTGCCGACAGGAATGGTTTTTAAGTACTTTGGTTAGCATATAAAATTTCTGTATTCTAGGTTGTTTATATTATATTTGTTTGGTTATATTGAGTTAACCTCGAAGTATTTCACTTCCTATTAGAGACTGCTAGTTTGGTATTCATTATAACTGTAGTGGTTTCTTTGTCGGCTTTTTTAAGATTTATCTCGCTGTTAACTGCATATCTTTGCTTTTAGATTATCTTTTCCGTTGGGAATGGTTATAGAGGCATTCTCTACTTCCGTGCGCTCCAAATAATTTTCAAAAGCAACCGTTTGGCTATTTTAGGCGCAAAGAGCGAGTAAAGTCCGTAAAATCTTTAAGGAGGGTTTTATGTGAAGCCAGTACAGGGGTACTTAGGATTAATTTCAGTCCTTTTACCATCAAAGCTATTTTGCGATCAGTATAAGGTTCTCATTGGACAAGTTCTCAGGGTTGAGCCTGATATCAAATATAAATTATGATTAAAATTTGGTTAAAAAATTAAAATTACGTTAAAAATCTAATTTCTATCAAGTAACTAAAAAAATTCTCAAAAAAATTAGACCCGCATTAAAATCTATTTTGCACATTAAAACTTTTCTCTTAGTTAAAAGCAAAGTGTTTTTACCAAAATTTGTTTCTGCTCCCGGTAACGATAATCTAGTGTTCTGCCTTATAGAATAGTTAAGAATGTTGGAAAATCTAATAATATACGAGGAGAAATAGGCAGGAGCTATGAACTTTAAACAAAAAGAGGAAGTTTGGTCACATGGTGAGAGCGCCTATTGGAAAGACGCGATCAGCGCAAAAGAGACATTGCATCTGGGGAGCGCGTACAGCGCGTAATTACTACGAGCTACTTCAGGAATGGCGATTTGAATCACTCAGAATTTTATGCTCACTCAAGTTTAGCACGTTATTTCACGGACCTGGTATCTCTCTGCCATTATATTGAGCTTAACATAACAAGTAATGAGTTTCATCAAGCTTCATCAAATTACGTTATTCTGAGACCAAAAGTTTGAATTTCACATAGTTTAATTTGCATTTAAGGTTGAGATTGCGAAAGGTGTTGACCTATATATTTTGGGTTTTTTCGCCAGATCACACATTTCAGGTTTTCAAATCGTTGGTCGCTCGAAAGAATAGTAACATTTTAAATCAGTTAGAGGGTCAAACTTTCTCATAAGTTGTTTCTTGGTAATGAGTGGTGGAGCGTTGTAATTCTATGTTTCCATGAGAAAACATCATGCTTCAGGAAATGCTCGTTCCAGTCCCTCCAAATGCGTATTAATGAAAGTAAGGAGAACTGAACTAAAACTGTACTATGGTAATAATTTTTTCCTCGGAAAGTATAATGCGCTGCACTGGGTGCAGAAGTCAGGAGTAGTTGCTTGTAAAAGGATAAAGGAAAGAGAGAAAATTTCTTACGATTTCCAGTTGTGTTTTTGCCCCGTTCACGAAGGCAACCACATCCGTTGGTCCTAATCTTCTGACCTCAGAGTACACCCCGATCTACATTTATGACGATCCTATTTCTAACGGGTTGGAGTTTACAATGCTCAGAATTAATTGAAGATAGAAATGAGAAATGAAAAGGTCGTGATTTGGTGTCAATCTGGATGGTGACAGCAGGTTGTAGCAATTAAATCGATCAAATACTTCACCCCCTCTTACGTGAAAAATAGTGTTTATACTCCCTCAATTTATATTTCATCCACGATCTGTGTAATCCAGGGTTAGGCTATTTGGCTACAATGAAAAACTTAGAAAACTACAACCCGTAAAAAGGGGAAAAATCAGCAAGTGGTTTGTGTTGGTGGCAAAACATTACGTCATAAAATCTGCGAGCAGGAAACGTAGCTGGTACGTCGTAAGATGTGAAACGGGAAGTGACAGTGCTTAGACGTCTGATTCTTTATTGAAAGCGACTACACTTTGCATCAGCGTATAGGAAAATGTTCCGTGAGTTAAACTTTCTCTTTATCACTCCTGAGATTTGTTTCCTGTAGCAGGTGTCATAGTGAAGTATCATATTTCTTCTCATTAACTACCATCCTCACCTTTCAATTTGCCTAAAAGTAATTAATTCGTGTGCCTTGAAGTCGAGCATTCTTTATTTTAAGAGATCTGCAGAGTTGAAGAAATTAGATCTCCTTGAAAAACACTTCCTTTAAGCATCTTTCTCATTATGTGAGAATGTACTTCTCTTTTGTTGGCTGACGAGAGTTTGAATTGCCTACAGTTTAGGGTAAGGAATTCAGGTCCATGCCATGTTTTCAAGATAATGAAGGGGTTGTTCTTCATAACAGTTTTTGCTTGTCTGGAGTTGGCAGCCGCAGGTAAGATAAACTCCAATTTAATTACAAGAACGCTCCGCTGATCTTCTTTGTCCAACAATCGTGATGTTAATAGTTTTTTTTCGGATGGTTAACCTTTACTGGTACTAAACTCAACCAGGTGGAACATGTGAAGCCCCAACATCATATGTCATCGCTTTTATTTTTATGTAGCTTTCTTAATTTTTCTCGTCCTCAAGCAAACTGTTTGAGTGTTACTTTTACGGAAATTGGCCGGTTTGGTTTAATATCATTCAAATAAGGAATCAAAGCTAGGTATTACCTGATTGCTTCAGTCTTGAATCAATTTTCTCAACAGCTTAGAAAATGTAATTGTAGAAAAATGATAATCATTTACCTTTTTCGCTTGGAACGGCATGATTTTAACCGATTTTACCAGTTTTGTCTAATAATATAACCCAGTGAAAGAATTAGATGAAATATTTTATCATATCAATAGCGGATTCTTTAATAAGTATTAGGTATAATACCACTATACTGAATGCCGGCGGGATACAATTTATATTGAATACTTATTTTTTCTTCGAGTTTATGACCTTTTGTTTTGTTAGTCGAATGCTTTTGATAACGAATTACTACACAAATTGCTCATCCTATTTTATGTAGCATGAAAGTTCTTACCGGTTTTTAAATTGACTAAATTCTTTCTCCAACTTCCATAGAAAAGATACAAAAACGTGAATTGAAAATTGACAGAAGAAGCCCTTGGGAATATGGTATGTTGCTCTAAATTCGTGTTGCATGACAGCCTTAGTGGCAACTACTTCTGAAAGGAGAAGTTTACAACAGAAACCATACGATTTTTATTTCTGCCTTTCAGAGTATTTGTAAAATTTGAAATTACTGTCGAAAACATTAAACGAAGGACGCCGCTATTCAAGTGTTTTTCAGCTACCTAGCCCCTTACCGCTTACGCATCAAAATTTCTTTTTTCCATCTTGAACATTCAGGAGCTAAAACTAAAGATTTTATTGACTCAAATTACGATTTTTTCTGATATACGGTTGCAATTGTCAAAGGTTACTTACAGCAACCTTGTTATCATTTACAAGGTTGTAAATTTGACCTAAAGGTTTGGTTTGCTCATCTATCGTTCATCGATTTCTTGTTCATGGGTGTACGTACTGTTTTAACGGATTGCCGACAGTCCAATAGCTATATGAAGGAGATTCCCCAGAGGTGACCTCTAATGGTAAATAATGCTATTACCCATGCAGCGAATATGTTGTCCATTTACGGCTGCATGTTGCCAACTATCAAGTGTTGTCACAATAACAACCAATTCTCGTATTGTCTTGCAGCTTTGCTTAAATATCTTCTAGGAGACCCCAGAGGAAACCGTAAGTTTCCATAACTTTTGTCCACTATCGTGGATATTTCTTTTATTCTCAAAGTATTTGTGTAAGGATGTCACTCAGTGAAATGACCTCTCTTCCAGCAAACACAGCGAAGGCTTTGAAAGGGGAAAGGAGAACTACTAGACTGCACAGATTGTGCTCTGGGAAAATTCAACTTCGTGATAAATGGATCAAGGACACGTCCGTTTACGACAAAATTATTTGCGGCATGTTCACAAGACAAGATGAGTACAAGAAGCATGAAGAGCACGTGGCGAGGATATTAATGGGAAAAACTAATAGAAAGACTTTGGATGAACAGAAAGATGAACTGATCAGAGCTGTTAATCGGATGGTAAAGGCAGCCGGCCCTATTCCTATTATTAAGATCAAGGGCAAATGAACGGGAAAGAGGAGCCATTAAATCAGTTCAGGAAGTTAATAACAGTGTGGACAACAGAAAACCACTAAAGCAGCAAAGGGTTCTACAAAGCCCCTAAATCTTTTGGGTAAAGTTCTGGTCACTTTCCTACTCTATCATTAGGTCGATTCGAAAACCGTGTGTGACGAAACATTTTCCCTAATTGTAAGATAACAGTTATGTGTTTTTTATAAACCTCTAATGGGATAATTTAGTGGGGGATTTTTAATTTCTAATAAACAAGACCGCACCAATAGAACCCGAAGGCAAACATTTCTTTCTCTTTTACTTTCCATTTAAGTTTGGACAAAAATTGTTATTCAGACGGTCAGTGCCTGTTATTCCAATCATTTTCCAACTAAGGATGTTTTTAAAGACATCGATATACTTAACTATTTCTTTCTGAGGGGGTTTTTTGAAGAAAACTAAATGTTTTTTCGCTTTTTTAGCGTTGAGTGCTCTTGACGCTCTGAACAAAAACCAAAGGTTAGCACGGGGTTTCGCCGACAAAGGCTTCCAATATGAGGGCCTGAAGATTTTTCGAGTAGTCATAACACAAATTTTATCTCCGGCTTCATTTCTCAATTTACTTAATTTATGACATTAGGGGTGTAAAAAAAATACCTACACGAAATTCGGTAATACGGAGCAACGAAAATGCGAACCGCAACAAGTTTAATTCCATCCAAAAGTACAATTTTATTTTCGATAGAACATTTTCATAGCCCCGAACTGCAAGGTATCGACGCTGCGCCAAATATGTTAAAGGCTGATATATGGAATTATCCCAAATCGAAATACACTGAAATTAATGATACCCCCCCTCCGTTCGTTTGTATATACTGTAATATTAGGAGGAGCAAGAAGAACGAGAAAAATCGATATAACCTTTGGCTAGGATTTCCTACTGAAACAACTGAAACTCTATAGTAAATTCTTAATACCCTGCCTTAAGAGGGGTGCCCGAGTTTTTTGATTTGTGAGGAATAGAATACTGATGCGAGTGTTTTGTTATACTTCGAAACACAACAAGGGGAAGGACTTTCGGCATTTTCTATGTAAAAGTAACCATCTTTATTGCCGTAATTAATTTGATTAAACTATCACTATCGCTCGCTGCTTGCAATGATATGATCACGATGTCAAAGTGGGGTTGAAATGCCGGTCTAACTCAGAGTAACTATAATTTTTATTGGAATTATAGCTATTGTTATAATGAGGACAATGGTTTTGTTCGACAACTGTTGTGCAGAATGCAGAATTAAAAAAAACAAAATGCTTGACACATTTTACAAATTTTGAACCCTTTAAATTATTTTTGTTCTATGGGCGCCCGTATGAAACAGGCATTTTAAACACATGCTTAAAAGAACTATTGGAAATAACTCTTCTTAATGCGATTTCTCTTTTGCTTTTCTAGCACTTTTCTTAGACTTATTTATTCTAGCTTTCTTGTGATGATTGTCCTTTTCTGCTAATTTACGTTGAAACTCTCTTCTAAATAGGCCACCAGGTGCGTCCCCCATGGTTGTGATACCTGGGTTATTCATCCCAGTGAAGCCATTAATACCATCCATTCCACCGAATCCGTTCATTCCATTGTCCAATCCACCACCCATCATTCCACCACCCATTCCTTCCATACTAGGTGTTCCTCCCATTCCAGCCATTCCTCCAGCACCATCCATGTTACCCACTGCGTTCATGTCGCCCATACCTCCTGGCATGTCGTTCATGGGTCCCGCGCCTCCCAGGTCTCCTGGCATGTCATTGAAAGGTCCCATACCTCCTAAGCCTTGCGGCATATCCTGCATTGGGCCCATACCTCCTGGCATACCTTGCATTGGTCCCATGCTACCTTGCATGTTTTGCATACTCGCCATTTTGTTCATTCCTCCCATTCTTCCCATTCCACCTATAAAACCCATCCCTCCCATTCCTCCCATTCCTCCCATTCCGTTCATTGCGGCCATGCGACCCATTCCTCTCCCTCCTCCTCCCATATTTGGCTTTCCTCCCATTCCGTGCGCGTTTTTCCAAGCGGCGCTGAATTGGTTTTGCATCTGCTTTTCAATACCCGCCATGGCCTGGTCCTGAATTTGTTTCATGGCAGAATTGTAAAACATCTCGGGAGTTGCTGGATCAGTACTCACACCTATGAGATTATAATGACACGGAATTACTCTTTAAAGTGGTTTATGACCGTTCGTTTTGTATCACAGTTATTTAGGTTCACGCCGTCAAGATAATAACGCTTGCAGAAAAGTGAAAGACAAATTAAGCCGAAACCAAAGAAAGTAATTTTGTCAGGCTGGCCTTATTAAACAAAGTTATGACCTCATTGAATTACGGTTTTCAAATGTCATTATCATCAATTAGCAAGTTCTTAGAAAAATAAGGATTCTCATATTTCAACATCGCCTTAATGAGTCATTGCAAGTAGGTAGTCAGACACATGTTTTCCTATAAGCTTTCAATTTTTTTGGGCTCATTCAGGCAATTCTTAAACACTTAACCTGCCTTAGCGGCATGCGCGTGCATGGCCAACAGAGTGCAAAACATTTTGTGTGCAACAGAAAGATGTTCGATTTCCCTTCTTGCATTGATTTTTGTTTGAGCACACCAATTATTGAATCCGAATGGACTATATCCCTTTCCTTAAAGGGTGAATCTAATTATAGGGAGTTTCTCAGATGATATTTAACTGCACAAGATGAGATTGTTTGAAACACTTCAAACTCATTAAAAACAGAGCCCCGTTCATTTATTGATGAGATAACAAAGAAAATTTATCAAAAGAAATGTTGATAGAGGTAAACCTTATATTCGAGCAAATAAGTCCATAACAGTTGAACTTGCCCGGCTGTCATTGGGTGTAGTAACTCCTTTGGAATGTGCATGCTCATCAACAGTTAGTTTCGTTTTATACGAGGAAAGTGTCTTCAGTGTCCTCGTAAACTTATTAAGATTGCGATCGCCACGTGGTCTCATGCATGATGTAAAAGACGGTCAGTGCTTTCTTTCGTGCAGTTTACCTGATGTTTTTTCCCGTTTCATGGTTATGTCCTTCTTTGATACCAGGGTTGATTGATCTTTGTGTCCTTTGTTGAGCTTATGACTGTCGTGCTTTTGTTTTCCTTTCTTGTCAGGTTTTTCAACCTTTGCTATTTTAGCTTTTCTATCATGAGGAGCATCGTACCCATCGTCGATATCACTCTCAGGACCTTCTTCCACTGGCTCTTCAAGAGCAGCATGTTCTCTAGCGGGAACAAAATAAGGTTCATCTTCGTCGACATCATCGTCGAATCCCTCATCGTCAAAATCTTCCTCGTTGTCGAAGTAATGATGTCTCCGAAAAGGACGAAAATAAGGCATCCTGGGCCGGTCTTCGTATCCTAATGGTACTTTGTCCCGTCCAACTGCAGGTTCATCAATCATAGGCATGGGTCCCATAGGCCCCATGGGACCCATAGGTTCCCTGAGTTCTTCTCCAAATCCTCTCGCATAATAACCATTTACTCCATTAAAGTATTCATCGTTTCCTCTTAGATTGTCTCGTTGGAATGCATCGCCAGCATTTTCCATATCTCCCATATCTGCCATGCGGTTGCCATACATTCCGGCCATTCCCATTTCTCCCAGTCCACCAAAGCCAGCCATTCCTCCCATTCCTCCACCCATACCATCCATACCACCCATGCCACCCATGCCACCCATGCCACCCATGCCGCCCATGCCTCCCATGCCTCCCATACCTCCCATACCACCCATGCCACCCATGCTATCCATTCCGTCGCTCATTCCTCCCATGCCTTGCATACCACCCATGCTTCCCATTCCTCCCATGCCTCCCATTCCGCCCATTCCACCCATTCCTCCCATCCCCGGCATTCCTTTTGCTGTCTGCATAGCAGCCTTAAATTGGTTCTGCATCTGTTCTTGTATGACTTGCATAGCTTGTTGCTGCATTTGTTTCACCATCGGGTTGTCAGGCTCCTCATTGTCTTTGTCTGCAAAGAAGGGAAACAAATCAATACTGCGGTGTTTAAATTACTTGTCCTTTACCGATTTGTAGTGTCCTATACGTCAGTATGGTCTGACATCACTGCGAGATACTTACCATCTCCTTGACTTGGGGCTTCGCTGGGCTCTACGAAAGTTGAGAAAAATGATACCGTGTTATTTATTTGTTACAACGACATTTAATCACACACACACATACGTCTCTTAATTAAATTTCAGAAAAGAACCCTTTTCCTAAGGAAAATTCGTTTTTTTGTCAAAACTCTAGACTTAAGCAACAGCTGATATTCAGTTGCCAAAACATGAGATAATAAGAGGAAATGGCCTCCAGCCTTAGAATTAAGTCCTTTGCACCATAACTTAAACTTTCAAACAGAAGATAATGGTGAAGATGAAAATGTATTTTTATATCTATCTGTATATGAGATATTCTGAAGGCTAAGCTGAAATAATATTTTGTGCTTACCATCAGGGCTCTTATTACCATCGCCACCTTTACTATCGTCTGACAAACCGACAGGAACAACAGGGGGTGCTTCTCCTTCGGCACCGCCTGGAGCAATCTTTAAATCCGGAGGGAGCTTAGGATGGTCTGGTCCAGCAGCAATAGCCGCATAGGGATCTGTTTTACCTTGGTCATTTTCTTTTGGATCCATTGCTGAACCACTTCCACCTTCGGAATCCCCAAGTTGAGTGTCGTTACTGGATAATTTCTTTGCAGCTGCCGCTGTTACGTTTGGAAGAACTCCGCTGACCAACTTGTCAATTGCTTTAAGAGCCGAGGTAGTATTGAAATCTTGAAATTGACTTACATTCTTAATTCCGTCTCGAACCTTGCTTAATGGAACACCTGTCGACACCCCTGTATCGTCCACCTTATCTGGGTTTGGCTTTATCTGAAAATTCGTAAACTCTTTACGATCAGGCATCACACTGCCAGGCTTAGCGCTTTTAAGCTTATGAAAGAGCTTCAAAAGGTTCTTGTGAATGCTTGTTTGAAGGCTTTTGATTTTAGTTTTTTCTTTTATGGGAGAAGCTCCACTTTCCTCATCTTCCTCACAGTCCTCATTTACGGATGACTTCTTTAGAGCAGCTTCCGTCTCAGTTGGGTGGGGAATGTGAGAGTCAATACTCTTTTGATGCGATTTTAGACTGCGAACTTGATTTATACAACCTAAAGAATTAGAGTAAAGACAAATGATGAGACCATAAGACTGCCGTGCAGTTGATTGGATATATTTTTTCTCCCTTTTCATGGTCCGATCCCTTCCGCTCGCCATTGACAAATTACTATATTATTCGCAACCTTGTCACAATGATTACTTACTTTCTGTTATTTGACATTGAAAAACCAGAAGAACAAAGAGATTAGCAGCTTACCAAAATGTATTCAGTTACTAACATGTTTGCCTTGAAACTTGTATGATCATTGAAGAAAATTTGATGAAATTGAACGTCATTGAAAGCAAGGTTTATTCTATGCTCTCTTACTCCATACCAAACAACTGAAACGTCATTTAATATGTTTTCACTGCGCTGTGAGTGACTACCCTCGTAATTATCTCCACGCTATCTTTGAGCGCAGCACGACCACTAAGTGGTAGTATGGCCTTTACGATTTACTTCGAATACTCCTTCTGTGCGAAATGTCACTTTGAAATGTAACGAAGGAGAAGAGGATAATAGTGGATATAGCTGAGGACTTAAGAATACAGATGAAGTTCAAATACCTTTTGAAGGCCTTCCACAAGATAAGTCTGGGAAAGCAAACAATAATGTGATAAAAATCTGAAGATCTGAACGCCGCTTCCCAATTGTTGTTTTTAAGAAACTTATAGCGGATCGTAGAGATAAATTAGAGAACTGTTTGTGACTTTGTCACTAAACTGAGGTCTCACTGACTTTGACGATATCTTCTGACTTGGCTAATCATTAACAACGTTGTCATCATTATCACTGCTTTTAATGATATCGATTTCTAAAATAACCCACGCATCACTTGCCGCTTAGCGGTGAGACGCTCAGTGAGGAGTCTGAAACTTACATTCAATGGACGAGGGACGAAAGGGGTGCGGTAGGGGGAGGGAACTTACATTAAATGGAAAATATTACCTGTTAATTGTGCATTTTGTTCTGTTTTTTTTTTTAATTTAAGTTTAGAATGTAGTTTACTCAAGTTCTTTCAATTAAGGCGTTTAACAGTTTTATAGTATAATTTCTGATTTCTTCTAGTTGTAAACTGAGGTTTTATAAACACATTGCATTCTCCTTTTACTGAGTATCGCTTTGCTTAACATGGACCGCTGTTCTTTATAAAGTTTGTTGCATAGTAAAGAACTTGTTAAAGACACCCCAGTACTCAGGCCATAAGGCTACTGATTAGTTTTGTAACGCACTGATAATTTTATTGTCAAAACAACTGGTACCAGCTCCTTACCTGTGAACAAGAGAACTGCTAAAAGCAGCGAAAAGATCATCGATCGTTTTCTTGTCATTCTTCAATTCTTCGCATTTGCTATAGAAAATCATGAAGATTGTCTTTACTAAAACAGTTTAGCAAAAGATTTCAACACTGTTTCTACTACATGATATATTTTAGATAAATACAATTGACTCGTTGAACTAAACGTGCGAAATTTACAAGTACCAGAAGAATTATTTGCAGTGTAGCCCAATGGCCCCAAAGCCTTTTGAAAGAGATCTTCAGACTGAGAAGTAAAAGATTTAAGGCCTTATGACATTTCAAATGGATAATTTATTTTCAAAAAGACACGATCCAAACTCGCCGTAACAGGATCGTTTTCCTCGCGATGTTTATATTATGGCAGGTCTCTCAGACTTTGCTGGATACCCAATATTCCCGTCTGTTTAGGATATATCATTGCCTGAAGTAAATAGGTTTCATATACATTATCATGATTCATCGTCAGTGCTTTCTTTGCACTACAAGAAAATAAGTCTCCTAAGATTCATAAAGGAAACTATGTAAAGTTCTCGTAGCAGGTATTGAAAATATTATTATCAGAGAGGCTCAAAATATTATCGTATGGAAAACAATTTACTAATGGCAAATCATCCAAAACTATGAGGGAGTAGGTAGACAATACAAAGTTATACACAACTTACCATGAGCTGAAGCACTGTTGATGATATTGGTACAAAACAATTGCCGCAAGCCACAAGAAATCACAGCTCAGTTGCTGATGTAAGAATAAAATATTTTGGTAACCCAGATCATAAAATTATAGTTATTTACCAATTAAATATTTACATAAGCAATCCAAAATAATCCCATGCGTTGCCAGGGAATAAGAGATTACCCCAAATTTAACGAATGAAGTGTAATTTTTTGGTCAAAAGGGTCGGACTGAAACTAAATCGATCCACATGATGATAAAAAAAGGACATATATCTACATGGAATTAAGCGGTTAAAGATCGCTATGGTTTGAAAATACAGTAAACTTTTCATCAGCGTTGCATTATGGGGTGAACGAATTCTGTCATGGGCAACTCAATAAGGTCAGGCATATCACACCTGTTAGTCAAAACTTCAAGGGTGCTTATCAAGAAAATTTCACACCTAAAATAACCAAACTAGCTTTAACAGGTTCGCCTGCTCTTAGATTCCTGTAGCACGGTCCTGGATCTATAAGCAGCTTTCACAATAATTCCGTGTAAAGGTGTTCATCCAATCCAATGCTTTTAAAGCAGTCTAGTACCATGGGAAGAATGGACACATCAGGGCGATGCTCCTTCTGGTCAAAGGTTGCTGTGGTTTTGACGACGTATTATATTTATCTAATCTACTTTAATCCGTTCTGATGGTGAAGGCATTTCTTACGACGTATTGTCTTTTCCTTTGGCTTACATTGGTTTATCCGTTTAATGATGGACAGAATGATGGACAGCTCTAACCGTTGTCTGGCTACAAGATTCCTCATATGTAGCATTCGTTTTGGAAGTTAGGCAAACAAAAGCCTGGTCCAGCACAAAATCCTCTTTAAGTTTGCTGCAACTGTTTTCGGACAAAAAAAGAGGATATGCATAAGCTCTGAAGTTTCGGAGGAAATATATGTCACTGACGTTTAAACTTGGTGGTTAAGGAATAATTTTATCTAAAAGATGCACCTTCTAGTTCGCTCAAGATCAGTTAATAAAGCTTTCTCATTTATTCATGGTAACTTAAAAAAAAAATGCATACTCGATAATCTCCCTTGAATATTCAAAATGTGATATCTTGACCTAACCAGTAACCTCCCAAATGAAACATTATTTTCATAATAAATTTACACCTGCCTTAAAGAATTAGATTCTGAATTTAGATTTTGAATTAGGGTGTTGAGTCAGTTAAAGGGTTGGTATTCACTTGGAAAGCAAAGAGTTTGCCCAAACTGCTTAATATCGAAGCATAATATCTCACTCGTATGATATAAGTTTGTCAGAGGTACTGATTACGTAAAAAGCTGGCTACCCCATCTGGTTATGTAGCCGAAATACTCGTGCCGTCTCATTTCGGCAATCGGATATAAGGTTTGAAGCACGATGTCTCGTTGTGTTCACGAAATTTTCCACTCTACCATTCAAATTTTAGACCCTTCAAAAGAAAAATTTGCATTAAATTCATTTCAGGTGTTCTATAAAAGTTCTCATCCTGCGATATTATTCCTTTCTGGTGTGTGTACTCCCGTTTAGTGTAAGGAAGACAGAGAAGCTTACCGAAAAGAAAAAAGAAACAATCAAACAAACTAAAACAAAACACGTACAACTACTTTTAAAATGTACGCCTTAAGCTCATGACGAGGGAATAATTTTGTAACCTACTATTTCTTCGGCCTTCACCCCAATTTGCGTGTCTTGACACAAACGTTCAAGGAACATTTTCATGTCGGGGTGAAAAGAGGTGTTTAGAAAGCAGGTAACGCTTGTGAGATCTTGGGTGGAAGTCTAGAACTATGTTGTCATGGAAAAATCATTTTTCTGTCTGATGTACATTCCCCCGAGTTATGGCGAATATGTGCGCATTAATTTCGTGTTTCATTTCATATAATCCGATTGTTGATGAGCATCTAAAGCTGAGATTTTCAACGGCCAAAACATGTATAAAGTTGTTTCTAGTTGAAATGTTTCATTCAATTTAATTATGAGTAAAATATATTTTTTTTATTTAGGGTCATAAACCTAACACTAAACCATAAGACTTTTTCAAAGTGCTCTAATGGTGAGATTCACTCAGACAAAAAGGTCTATTAGATGCTTGGTTTGGCAGTAATTTTGGCCTCTCTAAAATTTTTCCTATTGTTTTCGTTGTTGGTGTATATGCATGCTCTCTTAGTTATTTCCTTTGCTCAGTCAAACTTGTTATTGAAGTACTTATTTTAATGTTTATTTCCCTCCTGCCTCGATTGACTTCGCTATTTCTCGGGAAGGGCGGTCAGATATGTATTTTAATTGCGAAGGTAAATAGATTTTTGTTGTGGTGGTTATTGTTGTTGTTTTGAATTGCGAGAAATACATAATGCATTATTCATGCTGTTTGGACATCTGCATTGTGATTTTAATTAGATCTAATATGGCATTAAGTCATAACATGATCCGGCCTATTTTAGAGTGAAAAGCAGTACTTTTAATTGTTCTGTTTTCTTATTAAAAATCATGTTTTGACTGATCTCGTGCCCTTGGACCAGACTTCTGATCAATTCAAGAATTACTTCCTTCTCTTTGGCTTATAGATAACGTGATTAAATTTCTTGTAAAGTCAAACCTATGCAAGGACATGTTCTAATCGCCAGTTGACTGAAAATTTTCTGATCCGAGTAACGCATTCTTTAAACTTTAGTGCGTGTTAGTTTCATTCTTCCCTGCCTTAAAAAGCAATATAGGGTCGTCGACAATGTTTTAATCTATGAATATATGAATCCTTTACATTATTCTTTTTGTAGAAAAAGGCGCGCAAAAAGCGCCCTCTGTTGCCTGGAAACATTCCTCTAGTCCACAAAGAGTGCATATCGATAGGGTTTTCATAATTTTCCTGGGAGTTTTTGTTTCCTGTGAATATGTTTATTGCGCCTTGTCTTGTTGTTTTCCCTGGTATTATGATCACCCGAGCTGACTCCACTTTCACCGAATGTATAATTGAAGTTCTTTTCGCTGTGCATGTTTCCTGTCTGAGACGATGTTGTGTCAATACCGCTCGAGTCTGTAACTGACGCATGTTCTGGAATCAGTTGGATTATTTTATCGCGAACGCCTAACATGGTGTCCTCCATGCCTTTTGCCTC